AGAAGTCTGGAAGCAGAAGGGTTCATGCCTGAATCATTTCCTTTCAAAAGTCTTTTAAAATTAGCTTATTATCTCAACTGTAGCTTGTAACTGTGGCAGGAATTGCCCAGGGCACATTGCTCTGCTTAGACATTTCCCCTCTCTCATCGAGGGCTTGCCCAATTCAACTAAATTGGTTTAACCCTCCCTTTTTTACACAGTAATTAAATGAGTCTTAGAAGCCAGGGCAGGATCAGTGTAAACTGGTGCTTAGCATTTCCTGTTGCTGTCAGAAATGGAGACGTTTGATTCTCGAAGCTGTTGATGTTTCTCTACAATTGTCTCTCTATGAGCAGGGAGAAAATAGCAAGGTTAAAGAGAATCAGGGGTGATAGTCATATCTAGAGAAGAAAAACCTTTAAACTGAAATGAAAGAAGAGTCTGAGTTAGGTCACAAATAAGTAAGAAGCCTAAGCCAGAAGGCAGATGCAGAAAGAAAAGCACAGAGCAAGGAAGACAATATTGTTATTGGACCAGCTAAAATTCAACACATTGCAAGTGAGCACCCAAGACTCCGACCCTATGCTTGCTTCCTTGGGAGTAAGTCCCACTTCTGAGTACGCACGCAAACATCAATACTGTAAACATCAATACAGTATTGTAAGTCACAAAGAAATCTTGGGACACTGAAAGCAAAAAAATTTTTTAAAAAGATGACGGGTATTCTTACCCTGCTGAAAATTTGGTGCCACCAAAAACACTCTAACCACTACCCCATACTGGCTCTCATGACAGGCACATATGTGTCAACCACACCCACTTTTTGAAAGGGGCTCCAGACTACCCAAGCATGAAGATTCAGAAATGCAAATAGCTTGATACTAGTATTTTCACTAGGCTCTTGCTGGTGGAATGGGTCAGCAGAAAGGACTTGTGCAGCTGCAGGGCCTATGATGCTAGTTGATTCGTTTTATTTATTTATTGCTTCGTTTCAATATCCCCCTTTAATCCAGGAGGTCAGGGCAGTTGCTTAAGAAGCAGAAGTAGAAAGCCCTTCTATAAATATTGAATGTTAGAAGGACTTAAACCAAATATATTTCACCCAACCGTGTACAATAAGGTAGGACTGTTTGCACCAAAACGCAATGCAAGAAGCATTAGGGAAGACTAACCCTTTGTGTTCCATTTGTTTATCATTATGCTCTGAATGCTACATGTTTAGGGTTTGGGTCCCAAGGTCAAGCTGAAAAATGTCCGCTGAACTTGTTTCATTTTAAAACATAGACTTAAAAGACTTGAGATGATTGATACAATTGTGTTGCTAGGGAAAGTCATATTACAAGTTAAAGCAGAACAGATTTTTGCTCAGAACAATTCGGTGGAAAACTGAAATCAAATACAGTAGCAAAGCAATCTGTCAAAGAAAACCTGTTTCATTTCTGTAGCAGGACACACTTTTAAACCCATAATTCACCCAGGTATGGAATAAATAAACGACATTTTCATTTCATTTTATTTTTTTTCATTCCTCCTGTCACAGGGACATCGGATCTGGTGTATAAAATCTAAGTTTATAAATCAGTAGAGTTATTGAGTAAATGACAAGGCGTATTGATTTTAGAGCCAGAGAAACAAAGGGTTCTGTCACCAAAAGTCCCACAAGAGTCAGTAGCCCCAGTCTAGGTGCAGTCATTCCTAACTAGTTATGCAGAAGCTGTTAGTTCCCCAGGGAACATCGTCCTCCACCCACTTCAAGGGATCCAAATGAGCAGCATCCTTCCATTTATGCTCCATTCAGAGTTTGCATAAGGGCTATTGTGTCTTGCTGCAGGTGTGGAAACTTGCCTTGCACACAAACCTTTCCTGATGGATTAGAACAGATCTCTATAGTCCCACACCAAGACAGGTGCATTTACAACCATTGGCATAAGTGCCTTCAATTATGTGATGGATTCTAGATAGTTATGTGTATGTACTTTATAATATTTACCTTCTGTCTTTTCAAAAAAGTTCAAGTTGGCCAACAATATATTTTTAAAAATATTATCAAGAGGGAAAAGCCATTAAACCACCATTGTTTAAAAGAAGAAACAGAGCAGCAAAACTCAGAAAGATAAAAGCTTAGGAACACCGATAAAAAAACACCATCCATCACAAGCTTACAAAAATCACAGACAGCTAAAGACCTTCCAGAAAAGAAAGATTTTTACACTGCAGCAGAAGACTTTTAGGGAAGAGGCAAAGCAGATCTCTCTGAGCATGAAATCCTATGGCCACTGAATGTGGTTTATGCCAGCAGAACATTCTGAGTATAATGGGCATATCCAGTCAAAGTTATGTACAGTTTATTCCAACAGGAGTGACTTAGGCATATACACACTTTCCAGGTAAGCCCCACTGAATTCAAGTGCACTGAACATGTGGGGTGGGTGGGGGTTGTGTAGGGAAGAGATATGCTCATCTGGTCTTGCATGACTGCTGCCTCAAATGTTCACATTACTGCATACTCTGCATCAAATTCACTCATCAGATTAAAACTGGTTGGAGAAAAAAATGCAGCCAAAGGCAGTGTTTGTCAAGAAACTACAGAATCAATATGAATTGTGGCTAACATCAATGAGACTTTAAAAAGCAGCAGTGGGAGCACACTGGGTGCAGATGTGGCAATGTGAACATACCCCAAGAAGTGTGTACAATAAATTAACAGGGATCCAACCTCACTTGTTTGTAAGGTTCTGATGAAATCAGTTCACACTGACATTTGTGAAAGCCTTATAAGAGTCATCATGATTCAACTGAGCACACCACTGCTCAGAGACATCTGAACAAAGCTGGTGCCCATATCAATATAACAATGACCATGGACATATTCATATACATGTACAAACCTGGTCAGCAAATTAAACAAAAGGGAGAAAAAATGGTCCCAATGATTCTTTGTTCATCCTCTGGCTTCTCTGAATTGGGCTGGGTTGTTTTAGTAAAATCTTGAGGGGTTTTTTCATTGTTATCAAACGCTACTGAGCAAACACTGGGAAAGAGAGTTGTTGTCATTTGTGTGGACATTTTTAATTTATCAACTCCACATAGATTTTTTTTGTATCTTGAGTGTTATCAAGGATTTTATCATAGGCAAAAGTTCCATCTGGGAATTACAAATCATTAATCAGATGCAAACTTCTTTTCTTTTCTTTTTTTAAATGTGACTTTAAAGCTGTCTAGCATTTAAAGAAAAGTATTTAAAGACCTATTGATCTAGTCGCATTGCTACGCTTGATTAATAACTTCTAACTTTTCTATTTCACACTTCAAGCAACTCCAATTTTCTATGGGAAAAGTCAGACCCTTCTTACCTGTCTGCACAAAGAGAGATGCAATTTATTGTCAAAACACCAAGACCAGGATAGGCAACTATATGGTAAACTTTTCATCTATTCTGGGTCTATGGAACTGAAGACATGCATCCAAGTGAAGGACCACCGCTAGGGCTCTTGTGTAAAATAACTGAGCTCACATTTAGAAACATGCACTGGGAACTATGCAACAACTTCCAGACAACTTTCACAGAATGGTGTGGCTATGTTTGAGCAAGCGTTTCAAGCCATAATGGAATGCAGATGAACAAGGGAGGTGACTTGTGTCACTCTGTCACAACAAGCAGTGTCCCCAAATATGTCTACAAAGCAATGACAGCACTTGCACAACCACAATTACAAAGCTATGAATGCAGCTTCTGAGAGATGAACCGCACTCTCAGACCCTCCACGTGTCCCTATTTTCTAGGGACCTCCCTGATTTAGAGAAGCTGTCCCAGTTTCTGATTTAATCCCAAAATGTCCCACTTTTCCTTAAGATGTCCCTATTTTCACTAGAGAAAATAGGGAGGGTATGGGGTTATCCCTCCCTATGGAGTTATGGAGGGTATGGAGTTATCCGACCCCCCCGAGTCATCTGAAGACAATCCTGTATAGGGAAGTCTTATTATGTTTTTATATATGTTGGAAACTGCCCAGAGTGGGTGGGCCAACCCAGTAAGATGTGTGGGATTATGGAATGGGACGTCCCTATTTCCATCAGATAAATGTTGGAGGGTATGCACTCTCTCAGGTACAAAACTGCTCACCTTTGGAATACAAAGCCCTGAACAATTCAGGTCCTGGGTACCTTATCCCAGCAGGTGACGGAGATGGGAGAGAGAGAGAGAGAGAGAGAGAGAGAGAGAGAGAGGTGGTGTGAAAGGCCTCTATCTACAGTAATGTTGACTGAATTGAGCAAAAGTAAGTAACAAGGAGGTGCCTGTTGCTCCTCAGAAAACCCCACACTTCTCTCAGGCAGCTGCTGTTTGACTGCCAAGTGGAAAATAAAAGCTACTCTCCTCCTCTGGATATCTTAAGAACTCGAGCACCTGCTGATGTACAAGGGACCCTCCGTTCCTACTTCACGATATAAGTTACGTGTGCTCATGTCAGCAGGGTGTAAGCAAGGAGCAAAGCACATGTTGTACCCGTTCAGTTTTGTGTGGGTAAGGGGAGGCGTCTGAAGGGGAAATTGTGCAGCTGGAAAATCGGCATTTTAAAAATCCCAGTGCACTGTAAACCTGCGGAAGGTGTGGGCATGGCCTGTGAGTGCCACCATCAGAACCCGCAAAGCTGCCCTGTACTAAATCAAACTGTTAAGTTGTGGGTGAACATATCAGACGGCACAGCGATTCTTCAAACAGCTCTTGTTTATTCACAGAACAGAACAGAACTGAACTGAAGGGTTCAGCCAGCCTGCTTATATAGAGCTCCACTACAACGCAACTGTAACCACTTTCTGTAACTATCCAATAACTGAACAACACTTTCAATCCCTTATTTGCATATGTGGACCTGAGTGAAAACTATCTACAGTATCCCCCTGCTGGCCCAGGGTGAGAACTTCAGTACATAACACAAACCATGGTCCATGTAGCTCAGTATTAAATACCTGTTGGCAGAGACTCTCTAGGAATTCAGACAGGAGACATTCCCAGTCTTAACTGAAGATGCCGGAGATTGAACCTGAGACCTTCTGCAAGCAAAACAGACGCTCTGCCACTGAGCTATAGTCCTTCAAATGAATGTTTGCACCGAGTTTATACAGAAACTATTCTCTGTGGAAATGTAAACAGAGATAACCCGGATCTCTTGCCTACTGAGAGTGAGATGCTGAGACTCAGCTCTTTTGGTTGTTTTGTGTCACGTAACGCATGGATGCCCCAAAAGTTTCTCCTCTCACACATGACTGAAAGTTGCTGTTGCAATATCAGTGACCTGAATTTATGAGAGCAAAACTCTCAGGGAGAATTAGATTCAAAGAGGCCTGAAGCTTCCTGAGAATCTGAAAGAAAATGGCATTTGGGTCTTCATGGCCGACTAGAGCCAGTTAAAAGGTCAGAAAGAGAAAGGTTACTGACCTGTGGGTTTTCCTGAGACTAGGAAGGCAGCACAAGAACATTGGGCCTAGCATTCTCCTCACAACACAGGGATCATCCAGGAGTTTGCAGGTCAGCGACCCCGCCAAAACATTCGCAAACAATATAATGTCTCCCATCAGATGTAAAAAAAAAACCCCAACTATACGACTTGAGAAAAGACAATGCACATTTTTTGTTAACCGTGAAAATATTTAATAAAAAAGCATTCGAAAACAAGATGTACTCTGTATTTTGTTGTGATTTTCATTTAAAATGAGTTTACTGAATGATGTCACTTGACTTGCCGATAACATGTAAACGGCCTCCATTTCAGCTGGATTATGAACCAAAATATTGGGGAGGATGATTGTCTCAAATAAAGAAGTGATGTGAGATGGACAAGGTTGAGCAACCAGTCTTACTAAATTCTGGCGTTGTTATTAATACCTCATAAACTAATGTTATATTTCTAAGCCAGATTTATATTGGAATTCCAGGTCTTAGTGGGCAAGAGTCAAGGTGATAAGCTGTTATAGTGCCATATGGTATTTACTTTTGGGCAGGGCTTTTTTTCAGCCGGAACTTGCCGGAACTCAGTTCTGGCAACGCTCAGGTGGGCACCATTGCCATTCTGAGAGAACAAGGGAAGTGTTCATGGTGAGTTCTTTTTCTAGAAAAATAGCACTGCTTTGCGGGGGGGGGGAATGCAAACTTCTAGGTTGACTTTAAAGCACAGAATCAGCAGCATGATGTGGATACACTGGAAGTCAGGCCTAGGGAACCTTATTTCCCCCTTTTTTGAAGGCCGAATTCCTTCAGAACTAGAGACAAAGGTAGCCACGGCCCACTTTTCTCTATCTTTACCCCTTGCTTCCCATTCCACTGTTGGAGGCAGAATGCTTCTGAATGCCAGTTGCAGGAAACTGCAAATTGTGAGAGCGCTGTTGCACTCAGTTCCTGCTTGTTGTGGGCTTCCCTTGGCATCTGGCTAGCCATTGTGAGAACACGATGCTAGGCTAGAAGGGCCTCAGGCCTGATCCAGCAGGGTTCGGCTTACTCCCCCCGCCCCCCCGGTCACATCCACACCATACATTTAAAGCACGTGAGAATCCTGAGAACTGTTGTTCACCCCTCACAGAACTATAATTCCCCAAACCCTTAACAAACTACAGTTCCCAGGATTTAGGGGAGGGAGTTGTATGCTTTAAATATATGGTGTGGCCCATCTCCTCCTCACTTTCAGCCCCTCGCTTTTCTCCATTTCTACCACTCCTTTATCCCCACTCCTATTTTTCCCTCTTTGTCATCAGCATGAAATTAAGCTAAGGGCCACATGCGACTCTTCACTGTAAGCTGCCAACTCCTGCTCAAAAGTAAAAGGGCTATAATTAAGAGACTGTTTTGGCATGTCCAGTGACTATTATTACTGTTAAAATTTATATACCGCCCTGTACCCGCAGATCTCAGGGCGGTTCACAACATAAAATTACAATATAAAAAACACAAAATACATAATAAAAATGAAAACAAAGACAACCCAATAATCCCCACTTCCACAACACATTTAAAAGGGGTATAAGATGTTAATCAGTCAAAGGCCCAGTTAAAGAGGAACATTTTTGCTTGGTGCCTAAAGGTTTATAATGAAGGCACCAACCAAACCTTACTGGAGGCAGCATTCCACAAACGGAGCCACTTCAGAAAAGGCCTTTTCTAGTGTTGCCACCCTCCAGACCTCTCGTAGAGGAGGCAGATGAAGGAGGTCACAAACTGTGCAGCTTTTACTTTTCATCTTAGAATTGCCTATCTTCATGCCGTATTGCAATCAGCTTTTGAAAGTTTCAAAAGGCGTTTCCCTTGTGGAACATGGGACCAGGTTTCGAGATATATCAATCCGAAGCTCCAGAAGGTACATAAAGCTTCCTAGCCACCATGTTTTCAGGACTGTGGTGAAAGACTCTGCATTTAGAACATCCCCGTGTCCCTTGCAGCATCACTGACTGAAACCTTCACCAAATCAACTTTGTTTGGCTCTTTCCCTGGTTGCAGTGCAGAGCTGCAAATTATATTTCACAACTGAAGGAGTGATTGAGTTTGTTGACATTCTGCCAAAACAGATTGGGAGAAGAAGGCTTCAACATTTCTTTGATCGTAGAAGACAAGCGGCTCTCATTATACGAAAGTGTGCTTGACAGGATGGAAGAAATACAGGAACTTAAATGCTAAACTCCCCCCATAAAATATAAATGGCTTATGAATATTTAAGCAGTGCAAAAATAGCACTGGGCTATCTGAAGGAGAAAGTAACATACGAAATATTTTTTTAAATGTCATCTAATATCACTCACTGAGTTGACTTTGTTTTTATTTTTATTGCATATTTTTATATATATTATAATTTCATGCTATGAATCACCCTGAGATCTATGGGTATAAACCGATATACAAATTTAATAAATAAGAATAATAGTTAATAAAGATCACCTTGAGAAGTCTCCATAGATGCAAGACAGAGTAAAATAATGGCATGGTCTTAAAACATTGCCTGAGTCTGATTCTCCTCTTACAGGGTGAAGTGAAACTACTTTCAATCAGTTTGCTTATTCCCAGTTTATACTAGAGTAAATCAGTTGAATGAGACATTTACATTTTAATGATGTAAGGACACTATTTTCCTAAGAAAAAGACAAACGCAGCATTTTTTTTAAAAAAAAATCCTATTTGTGTCCGTGTACACACAAACAGAACAATTTCCTTTGCAAATTAAAACTTTGGATAAACAACATTGGATGTGCCTGCTTAGTTTGACCATGATGCTCTTGATATATTGCTTTTGGAATGAAATTTTGCTTAGGGCTAAAGGCATGTTATGCAGATGAAAGGCAATTGTTTAGCCAGCCTCCCTGCTGGCTGCTGGGAGAAAGGATAAGCAGGAGCAAAAATCTTAAATAAAAACAAGAGTCCATTAAGATATGAATATCTTGAGCAAAAGGTTTATGCCTGGGGAATCTTTAATGTTGGCACCCGCATTTTCTGTTACTTTTTTTCCAGTTAATGCTGGGTAAAATTTCCCTTTCTCCACTGCCATGAGGTTTCACTACTACTTCAGAAAAACAAAAGGGAGATTCCACAGTACATAATACGGCAATACCTTTATTGGGCCATTTGAAATGTCACAAAATAGTGTGCATGCTGTAAAGTACACTACCTTGTGACATGTTTGGTTGGCCTAATACTGTCAGGTGTCTGAGCCAGGAGTAGGTTAGTAATAAAGCACCCAGTTTCACTAAAGTTAACTCTTTATTCAAAGAAAGCAATACAGTGCAGACCTAGTGATCATAGCAACTTTTCCCAGTAGGTCTTGCCCGCTCTCAAAGACTCCACCCCTGGGTCCTTCCCCAGCAACTTGAGGCTCGTTCGTCTTGTCTCTCTTTGCTCCGCCCTCCTCATTCGTCTTCATATTCTGGGAGACCAGGGGGAAGGGGAGCTAGTGACAGCAGGAGGGGTACTTCAGCAGCCTCTCCCTACTCCTCTCCAGCCTCCACTTAGACCTTAGATCTCGACTGCCTTGAATTTGGTCTGGCAATGAATTGAGAGCTAGTGAAGATCTTGGAGCACAGGCATAATATGCTGAGATTCTTACTCCTTTCAGCAATTGTGCTGCAGCAGTCTGCACTAAGACTGCGTACACAATCCCGCTTGCTCCAGCACTGATGTTTGAAGCCAAGTGCACGCAACGTTAGCCACAATCCATAGGCATGCTGTAGTATTTCTTGAGAAATACTCCTGTTTGGTGCACTTTCCCTTGAACTAGTTTCCATCCGATTGGGAAACTGAGGTGTGTACACTTCAGGAAGCCACCGCACATGTGCAGATGACAGTGTATGCGCAAATGTGACTTGAAACGCTGCAGGGGGACAGGGGCAGCACCATGCCTTAGGCTAGGTGAAGCTATTTGCATCAGGCAGCAGATCTGACCCCCTCCTCAATCCTGCCATTGCACAGCACCATTTCACCAACACAGTCCTATTGCTCTCACTGTTGACACTGCACCCTCACAGCTGCTGCTGTGTTGCAGCAGCAGCACGGGTGCAGTCACAGATGGAGGTACAGTTGCAGTGATGGGGCTGGCAGCAGCACGGGCGCGACAGGTACAGAGTGGGTACCCAGATCTGCTGGGTGGGGGGGAGGCTTTTTGCCTACAAAGGCAAAATGTCTCAGGCGGGCCCTGAGCAGGGGAGAATGGCATTGGTGTGTTTCAAGTCACTAATGCGTACCTAGCACAGTTGCAGTTTCTGGATCAAGCACGAGGAAAGCTTCAGATGGAGTGTATTGCATTCTTGACAAAGCATAGCCAACCACCCTAGAACGAAACGTTATGAGTGCACAACAAAGGTGACAGATTGAAAGTCACTGGAAACTTCCTGGCACCCAGGAAAGAAATGGTTGAAGATGAGGCAGAATGATTTTGGCCACACAATTTTCATTTACTGTTTTTGAACCTCTTTCAGGACCTGCCCACCCATGAGCCAGGATGAGGTGACTGCCTCAGGTGGCAGGGTCCATGGGGGCAGCAGATCCCAAAGTTAATCTTCCTTTCCCTCCTTGTTCCTGAAGAAGATTGTCCCTCACCCCTTCTTTTGTGACAGGGACAGGGGTGCTATTTTGTGGTTCACCTCAGGTGACAAAATGTATTGGGTTGGGCCTGACCTTTATCTCACATCAAGTTTGCAATAAAAACATTTTAAGGCTACAATCCAATATTTAACTGGGAGTATGCTCTACTGAAGTCAGTAGGGCTTACTTCTAAGCAGACTTATCTAGAATCAGGCAGCTAATGTACAAAAATGCAAAATCTGAAATTTTCCATAATGCAGATGCTAAATTTCCAGCTTCTTATGACTTGTAAGGAGAAAGCATATTGCTGGATTATGAACTCAATTATAAACATGTTCTTGGGTTATTTTAACAACCACAAGGCAAATGGTAATTCCAAGATATTCATTTGCTTGTGGGGCAGAGGAACTCATGGAATTTACATGGCAACCCGATGTTTGGTCAGTCCCTTCCTATTTTAACTAACTTCTTTTATTTAATTCTTAAATGAAAGCAAGATTTGAAAGTGGATCTCCCACAGGTTCCACCAAAGCCAAAGTTTTGGCTCAAACTGGTTGCTCATGTAAATAAAGGGCCTTCACAGCACCTCACTGCTTTTAATTAAGGCCCAATTTAAAAGAGGGTATTTAACCACCCTTCGCCATCAAACTTAAATCTGGTTCCAGTAATTAAAAGGATTTTCTTAATCTAGTTCTCAGTGTTAGGAGGCTCATTTCAGTTAGTTAATTAAAGACTGTTTCTTAAGCTATTCAGTCAAAGGAAAACAAAGGGAAAGAGATTAAAAAGTGTCATGGGTGGAGGGGGGAAGAACTGCATAAACATGGCTGAAATTATCGGTCGGCCTCTTTAATTAAAAGCAACGGGTCTAATTTATTACAAATGGCACACACATTCATGTTTTAAGCTGCTTTTAAACAACTTTCGTATACTTACGAATAAACTGCAGACTCCCTGGCTGTTGCAAAGATATAACATTTGTATAAATGAACTAGATGTCGTAACATGAAAGGGTTCAAAACTGGTGCATGGGGTTTCCTTGTTTTTATATGTTTTGATGTGGTGGTTGTGTACATGAATTGGACTTTGTAGAAATTAGCTTTTCCTCTCACCACCCCAGCCAAAAAGGATTACAGAGCTTTAGATTTAGGACATTTTGAATAATGCTTACTCTCTAAATGGATGTCACTAAAATGGGCAGGGGTTGAGCAATCGGAGGCATCCCTTCCAATAATAGTCTTTGCTTGAAGGGGGGGGGGTTCCAGCATCAGACTTGACAGAGAGCCAGCACAAATTGTAAGCAATTGCCTGTCTGCTAACCAGCTCATATTGATGCCTCTCTGCCTCAGCAGAAAGAAGAAGAAGAAGAAGAGTTTGGATTTGATATCCCGCCTTTCACTCACCTTCAGAAGTCTCAAAGCGGCTAACATTCTCCTTTCCCTTCCTCCCCCACAACAAACACTCTGTGAGGTGAGTGGGGCTGAGAGACTTCAAAGAAGTGTGACTGGCCCAAGGTCACCCAGCAGCTGCATGTGGAGGAGCAGAGACGCGAACCCGGTTCACCAGATTACGAGACTACCGCTCTTAACCACTACACCACACTGGAGGAACATCTTATTCACCAAACAGCATCCTGTTGACAAGAGACCCTGTAGGAAGGAAAGTCAAGGAGCATTACCTCCCTATGCTGCTCAACTTCTGCCCACTTCAAAGGTAGACATCCTTCTGCCTGCCCTCATGGGCTGAACTGTGCCTCCATAAAGACTTAGGTTACATCCATGCTGTATATTGTAACCATTAGCAATCATGGAGAATCTTGGAAACTGTAGTTTGTTCAGGATGCCGGTCAGCAACAAACTACAGTTTCCAGGATTCTCAATGACTGCTAAAGAGGCATAACAGTGCTTTAAATGTATGGCGTTGAAGCAGAGGAGGAATCGTTGAACCTTAGGAATGTCAGCAATAGATGGGGTAGCTGAAAAGATTAAATACACCATTCCTGGTCAGCACAGCAGTGGGAATCCTTGAGCCTCACCAAGGCTGATCTGTTTGGGTGGAAGTGAGGTATTTTGTAACATAGGAAGCTACACCAAGTCAGAGCATTGGCTCCCATCAAGCTCCATACAGACCTGCTAGAGGTGAAGGATCAGGGAGGAAACTCAGATTTCATAGTGCAGTCCCTGGTTTGACAGATCATGGTTGGGAATGGGTTGTTTAAAAACAGGCAATTCAGCCACCCACTACCTGAAGAAGTTAGTACATGGGACTTATGGCCATCTGAACAGAAATGCCCTTGGGAGCAACGGGAATTGATTATGGTCCATCATTCTTAAAAAAAAATAAAAAATTTGCCCAGCACAGAAACATGATAGGATGGATTTATTCCCATCATCATGCAGATCTGGGATGAACCAGACATCAATGGGTCCCTTCATTCCTACATCTTTACCTGGAGGTGTCAGGAATTGAACCTGGAACCTTCTGCACACTAAGCATATGTTCTACCACAGCTCTTCTCTGTTTTATTTTTGCATTGTTGCACATAAAAAATGCCTCTTTTTTGCATTGGTCCTACTGGCCCCTGTAGTAGACTTTGTAGGAATGTTCAGGGTGGCAGGAGAGGATATATTGTTTATTAATATCCTTCCTAACTTGTGCTAGCAAGTTCCTTTACTTAGCAGAGTTTACATTCCCCTTCTCACGCACAGCAGAAATCTGGTTGCAGGTTTGTTAGAACCTCTTACTATTATGCAATTCAATCTCCCTCAGATTGAATTGTATGTTCCTGGTAAGATCCCCCTTTGAATCCCTCCTAAAAGAATAAAGACACCACAGTCTTATTCATAAGCAAAAAAAGAAAGTTTATTCACAATCAGGCAGAGCAATGTGTGATCCCTGAAGGCAGGCTTTAGGCTTAAAGTTACAAACGTATACTAACAGGTTTACCCCATAAGGGAGATGATCTGGGGGGCTGGTTGGTTGGCAGCCAGCAGTTCATTCCAGGAAGTTCACAGGACAAAAAGAAAATGGAAAAAGAGAGAGTGCCAGCATGCCTTGGCCTTTTACCGGGTCTGGAAAGGTCAAGCCCACCTGCTAGTCACATGCAAGGAAGGATGTTCCAGCCAGGAAGTTTTGACTGGCTGGACCAAACATTCCCTGGCATGTCCACTCTAGCAAAACAAGGAATGCTCCCAGTGGATTACATCCCACAGGCTTAAGTAATAAAGCCACAGTGACACAGTTTGGTTGTCCTATTGTCAAGGTTTTCACAGTACTATAACTGATGTGCAATAATATTGCTATCATTTGCACCAAAGAGAAAAGGCCATCAAGCATCAGTCTTCTTCCATCACACCATTATTTATTACTTCGTAAGACCTGAGTCAATTCTTTGGCCTTCTGAAATGGTAAAGTACCAGCAATGGTCAATTGTAGGCAACTACAGATTGCACATGGCTAGCCACAGATTACTAGCATTGCTTTTCTTAGCTTCCTGTTTAGCTTCACTCTGAATGCTGAAATTATCCAAACAGCAATGCCAAATGCACAGTAATTGGCGTGTCATGTAATTACATCAGTCACTACCAGTAATCTAACAGCTGTGATGTTACATGATTTCTTGTGCTTTTCAAGAACAACCTGAAGAATTGCATTCTAGCAAAAACCAAAGAGATTCTGTGGTGAGTACTTAAGATGCTATCTTTAGGTAGAAATGTTTGGCGTTGAGTCTAACAAGGAACAGATTTTATATCTACACTCATATTCATTATAAAACTTTGATGGCCTTTTATATATTGTAAGTAATAACAACAGTAAACAATGGGCACAGACATTTTTTTTTTAAATCATGTTACAATATAACAAAACAACAATATACATTTTGGGCAAGGAAGGTTTAGGGCAGGGGTAGGCAACCTAAGGCACGTGGGCCAGATGCGGCCCAATCGCCTTCTCAATCTGGCCCACGGACGGCCCAGTAATCAGCGTGTTTTTACATGAGTAGAATGTGTCCTTTTATTTAAAATGCATCTCTGGGTTTTTTGTAGGGCATAGGAATTCGTTCATTTCCCCCCAAAAAATATAGTCCGGCCCCCTACATGGTCTGAGGGATGGTGGACCTGCCCACAGCTGAAAAAGGTTGCTGACCCCTGGCTTAGGGCAACAGTGGGATGGAGATGATGTCACCTCATTAATGGGGAGACAAGCTGGTGCAAACCCCCATTTTGCTCTAGTGTGGAGAAGCCCTTCCATGCTGCTTGGGTCACACTGAAGCTACACAGCCCAGCTAGAGATCTGTTCAAACTTGGGTCCCCAGCTGTTGGACTACTGCAACTCCCATCATCCCTGATTACTGGTCCTGCTAGCTAAGGATGATGGGTGTTGTGGTCCAACAACAGCTGGGGAGCCAATTTTGAGAAACATTGGTTCAAAGCATGGAAGCTCAGGTGTGCTTACAGAGTTCCTCTGACCACAACAGATTGTCTAATAAATCCTGGGAGCCTGTCTGTAGTTTGCACATGGAGATGGGGTCACTTATATGTGCGATGGAATGCATACAGAAGTTTGGAGTAGATTATGAGGATTCCCCCTATTTATTTATTTTCACTGGTCCCCCATCTTTCCTCCAAGGAGCTCAAGGTTGAGTACACCCTTCTCCCCCCCCCCCATTTCATCCTCACAACAACCCTGTGATGTAGACTGGCCCAAGGTTACCCAAGGAGATTCTTAGCTGAGTGAGAATTGAACCCTGGCCTCCCAGGTCTTAGTCCAACCCTCTAACCACTATAAGACACTGATAATTTATTCATTCCCATTTGCCATGTGGCCAATACTGGCAGGGGCAAGGAAACTTACTATGCGGAAGTATTCACAGTACCGTGAATGTTCCAACTTGTTATGGCATGAAGGAGAGGGGTTCATCTCTAGACTTGCTATTTTCAGCATCTCCCAGGGTGAGCTTAAAATATAGATCAGCTTTTAATCTTAGGTGAACTGTGTCATATCTATGCATTTCTGTGGACACTGAGGTGCTTTTATGGAGGCAAGGTTCTGTTCCCTACCTTGGAATAGTAGCGGTGCAAAGAGCAGAACCAAACCAGCCTCAATTTTTTTAAAAAATAGTTAATTCAAGTTGGATTGTTCCTGTGTTATCAGAACAATACTGCATCCTGGCTTCTCCTAAAATGATATCAGCACAGACCAAACAGAAGCATTACATCATCAGAACGATCTCTCATTGGATGGTCAATGATGCAGTAACTTCTGTTCCCTAGCAACTTCCCAGGGTGTTTTAACTCCTTTTGCAGGTATGCCACATAGCACAGTAAATCACTTTGCAGGAATATTTTTCAAAACCTTTAGCTCTCAAACCCTCATGCTCTTAAATTCCTAGAGTAAGTGGCTCAGGCCTTCATAGATTAAACTTCTATACACAGTGTCACATTTTCCATATCTGGAGGGGGGGAGAAGGTGGGGTTAAGGTGACTGGGGGCTCTTGTGCACTTCCCAAAGCACCCTGTTTCCCCCAAGAAGAAATGCATCAATGTGACCGAAATATTGTGGTATCTTAAAGATGAACGCAATTATTATGACATAAACTTTTTGTGGACTACAGAATATACTCTGAACGTGTGCAGTTTCACATTTTGAATGAACTCATTTCCTGCCTTGGGCCAGTCACCAACTCTCAGCCTAATCACATGGCTGTTGTGAAGATAAAGTGGTATAAAATGGCTGTAAAAGTGTGAATACCACGGGCATCACATTTCTATTCCTTTGACCCAAGTGAAGCATCTTTATTCCATAGGTTTTTTTTTTAGATGGGGGAGGGGAGATAGAGACAACTCCAATGCTTCAACCAGTCTGGCTTGATTATTTAGGTGCCTAAATTCCACTTGTGTTAATGTAAGTTTACTCCCAAGGTGCGTGTTCACAGGGGTTTGATTCCTAAGAGGAGTTGCCTGGGGCCTATAGCCAATGGGGGTAGGGAACTGTGGAAAGCAGTGTAATCTGCTCTCATTTTAAAATTTATTTATTGATATATTTTTTACTATTTCCTAATTATTTTTACAGGCAGAATAGTAAGGGGGAAAAACACAGAGTTGGTATTTTCCTTAATTGCTCAGTAAAACCTGCACCCACTTTCTAATGTTCTGTCCCAAAGTCAAAATCTTTGAGATACCTAGCTGGATTATGAAATGTTATAGAATATTTTTAAATTTTATTTAGACCAGAAAGCTTGGTCAGCTCACTCTGACCAAGGTGAGCGGTCCAAAGTCTCATATGCAAAACCACATGCTCAGGACAATGAGTAAAACAGAGACCTTGCTCTGAATTGTGCACCTTTGAGGCAGAGAGTAGAATCATAGAATTGTAGAATTGGAAGGGACCACGAGGGTAATCTAGTCCAACACCCTGCAATTCAGGAATCTTTTACCGAACATGCATGAACCCATGACCTTGAAATTAAGAGTCTCGTGTTTTACCAACTGAGCTACCAAGGGCATGCACAAGCATTTGGAAATTCAGTGTTTCCATCTTTGCCCTTCCATTTTCTTGACTACTACTACTAGTTCTGTAAGAAAGTATGTGAACAAATCAAATAATTTATTATCCCTTACAATGGGACAACCTCACTCCACTATTAAAACTGGAGAAAGAGGGCTCATGCAATGAAAATAGTAACAACAGCAACTTTATATACCACCCATCTGACTGGGTTGCCCCAGCCACCTAATACATTATTGGAATATATTTTGTTGATAGTCTAATGAAAAATATTTTTTAATACATTTTTATTTTAGTCCTCTGTCAAAAACATTTGTGCAAAGATAAGCTCAGTGGAAGAGCGTGTGTTTCATATGCAGAAGGTCCCAAGGTCAATCCTGGCACCTCCAGGTCAGATTGGGAAAATATCCTGCTCTGAAACCCTAAAGAGCCACTGCAAATCAATGTAGACAACACTGAGCCAGACAGACTAGTAGTCTGACCTACTGTGAGGCTGCTTTCTATGTGCCAGGTGTCGTACATATTAACATTTCTATGAAAATTAGACCACTAGTCATTCCGTGCTAATCACCTGAAGTGGAGTAAAAACACAACCCGGCAAATCTCCTTCCTAACAACCCATCAGTTGCTAATGGATTTTCTGCAATGTGCTATATATGCAATAAATGTCAAACAATGCCTAATGGAATTTTGCCTGTAAAAATATTATTTCCCCTAGAACTGCTGAAACCTGCCATTACTTTGACTTATTAGAACATTAAAGAAATTGGGAGTGACTATCATACCTTCTTTTAAATCTAGGAAACAAAGCAAGGACCCTTTATTCTGGGCCCCCTCAGAATTTTGATACCACCCTCCATCCTCTCTACTTCCTCCCCACAACCAGTTTATCCTTCCTAGATTCTCCCATGCCCTTCAGATGGCCAAATTATTTCCTTTCATACAGAATACATTTTTAAGAGGCATTGCCTAAGCTCTAGCTAAGGCTTTTCTTTTCTTTTCTTTTTTTTTGTCTTCTGATAAGGGATTTCATTAATGGCAATTCTGATTTAGTTGTACACTCTAACACGCTTATAACAATGCACTACATATGCAGAACTTAATTAAAACAATGATTACGTTCAAAGGAAATTGCCTTGTGATGAAAAACTTTTAAAATACCAGGAAGGATGTTATTAGAATGTGGCATGTCTGTGAAAGGGCTGGAGGCCTCACAGTTATCGGGATGTTGTCGTTACCACCGTTCTGCCTACAGATTATTTGCATTTGTGGCTTGCTCAAAAGGAGCAAAGTTATTCAGCCTACAGGTTATGTGGTCATGAATAACCATATAGAAGCCTGTCTCTGATAATATATATATTTTTCCTTAAGCAGGAAAGAACTACCTTCCCTGTGGTTTGCATTTAATTTCTGTTATGCAACGCAGATAAACAAGCAGCCTCTGATTCTGTTTGCCGCTTGCTGTCCTACTGACTCTCCTGCAGGAGAAATCCTGTCTTATGCCAGGGGTGGGGAAGTTTTTTCAGCCCAGGGGCTGCATTTCTTCATGGAAGACTTTCCGGGGGGACACATGCAAAAGTGGTCAGAATAATAGGGCTGACTCTTATCAGTCTCACAGTTCAAGAGTCCATTCCAACAGGGGAAAGTACTCACAGAGGATGCAGAGCACAGCCTGTAGGTATGTGACCTGAGGACAGACCATGGGCCTAGGAGAGTCCTGGGGGCCTGATAGAAAGCCCTGGAATTTGGCCTTCAAGGCTGAGGTTCCCCCATTCCTGTCTTACACAGTTGTTTTTCTATAGTGCTTCAGTAGTTTATTTTTCCAAGAATGTGGCTGGCCTGCTTGCCCACTAAAAGTTCTGAAGTTGACTATCCTGCAACCAGGATCTTCTTGAACCATAGGTAGGGCCAAAATCATATACACATCATACAAAATCAACTATAAAATCAACAAATAGCCAAGTGTTTTGTTCTTGGTAACTGTGTTTCACCTGATGCAAGCCCCCCAAAAACAGGGAGTATGTTTTACCATAGGTATATGGTACACACATACACTTGACATCCTTCAGTAAAGCCTTGTTCAAAGTGCTTTAAAGATTAAATACAAGAATAACTGTCTTGGTGGTCATTACTATGCTGTAAAATGTCTGGCTCAAGAAGGCCACTTGGCTTATCCTCTGGCTTCTTTTAAAGGAATAGTCAGCACATCTATTTAGGCAAGCTTTTGTGCTAGCAGCTGGTTATTCTTTTTTCCCTTTTTTTACAGCTCCTTCATAAATAAGAGAGCCAGTGGTAGATCAGACTAAAGACCCAGCTAGTACAACATCCTGCTTCCCACAGTGGCCCATCAAATGCCTCTGAGAAGCCTACAAGCTGGGCACGGAGGCATTAGACCTCTCTCATTGTTGTTCCACAGCAACAGATATTCAGTGACCTCTGACCTTGGAGGGCTCATATAGCCATCATGACCGGCTAGCATTCATAGACTTGATATTTTATTCTGCTTTATTGTAATTTAAGAAAGGTGGGGAGAGTGAATGGGCCATGGTCACCCAGCGAGCTTCATGGCTGAGTGGAGATTTTAAGTTGGGCCTCCCGGGTCCTAGTCAGACACTTTATTTTTTTATTCATTCACATACACACACACACACACACACACACACACACTATTTACACAGAGAGAGAGAGAGAGAGAGAGATAACCAGTTGGCATTCAATATAAAAATATAATACAACAGCACAGTGGTACCTTGGTTCTCAAACGGCTTAGTTGATGAACAAATCAGCTCCTGAACGACGAAAACCCAGAAGTAAGTGTTCCGGATTTCGAAGGTTTTTTGGAAGCCAGACATCTAACGCGGCTTCTGCTTGAGTGCAGGAAGCTCCTGCAGCCAATCGGAAGCCGCGCCTTGGTTTTCGAACTGTTTCGGGAGTCAAATGGACTTTTGGAACGGATTATGTTTGAGAACCAAGGTACCACTGTAATCTAAATAATAACAGCAATAAATACGAGATGGTTAAAAAAAGCAACATTGCAAAGTCTGAAAAGCACAAATTTCAAACAGCATCTAAAAGTAGGCAGGAATGACTTCTGATAGACTTCTACCACCAAATATTTCCACAGGGCAGGCTCTGCTACACTAAATGCTCCCCAATAGAAGATCTCACTGACTGAGGTGGAACATGAAGAATCAGTCAGTCTTTAAAGTACTGCGGGTCCAAGATGTTTAGGAGGATGATTCTTTCCATCTGCAGCTGGAAATCCCTCTGTGGCTATTTCAGAGGAAACAATTTCCTTTCCTTTCATGCCACCGAATGACATAGGTATCTTTATGCGCCCCAGGTATCTTTTCATGATGCCACATTCGTTGACGGATGTGGTGAAATCAGCATGAGGTTAAAAAAGATATTGGGGGATAGTTTCGAGTCAATCTAAGGCAGCATCGCAGCATCAGTACCAGCTGCCTTTCTGTAAGATAACGATTTAATGGCCTCTTCGGTTTCAACCATATAAGATTCCTGGGCCAGAAGCTGATTGTATCACACTGAGGTAATTCCTGTATAGCCTTTTAGCTGGCAAATGAGTCATGATTCAGGATGTTCTTAAAGGGTTCTGCCCCCTAGAATTTGATTCTTATCAGTCAAAAGAGTGTTACCATTAGAGTTCATAGCACGGGCTGAACCTAGACAATGTATGTGTTATTAAATGTTTATTGAGCAGAATGGCCACTTATGTATCGCCCCTCCAAAAGAGGACAGAATATGACAGATTTTAATAATATATATATATGCTACTTAGTATGTAAAGATGCAAATTTAGGAAAAAAATACTGCAATCTGAAGAGAAATACAATGCATCTTGCTCTAGGGGGAAAGACTGTAGCCAAGTAACCTGTCCACTGTCTTGGCGCTCACTATTGACAGGCAACTTTAAGGTCCCTCCTGCTTGGCCTTCCTAAACTTATTTATCTTTAAACCGGCATTGGACCAGACATCCCTTCAAGCATAGTCCTTCAAATAAAGGACTATGAATAAAACAGCAAGGCATCAAAATGAGCCCCAATGTTCTTCCATTATTGTTGAATAAAGTCTGTTATATTATCTGCAAAGTTATGACCAGAACTTGACATTATAGCTGTTGAAATACTGCTACAAAAAACTTTCCTTGCATTGCAAATTGAAGGTCGAGGGGGGGGGGCATTCTAATTATGGCCATGGTGATTGCAAAGGGTTAAAGCCCCTGCCACCAGCTCTGATCCAGCATAGCCCCTTCCATACTGGTTATTTTGGGAAGAAAAATCTCTTGCACCAATGACAAAAATGTTACGTTTTGCCTTGAAGTCTCCATGTCACTCTTCAGAGCTGCTTGGCAGCAGTTACTGTGGCTCGAGATGTTATAAAGCCTTCTCTTAACTTGCAGTCTTGGCCTGAAAGCTCCTGCTGTCTTCTTCCTCACAGGAGCTGGGCCTCCTCCTTGAAACATCCAGGCAGCTGGGAGGATCTGTTTCAATTTATTCCAAGGTTTGTTCATAATAAAAAACAGGATGACCCCATCCCCACCCCCCATCCTAAGCACATTAATTACTGCTCTCAATAGTAGGTCTCAGTAACAGGAAAACACTCCCATTTATTACAGCAGTACTTACTCTCACTTACTAGACTTGATCCAGTGCATCATTAGATACACTTACTTTCGATAGCAGTAGAAAAGGATTTCTCACTACCAGAATAAAACCTAAATTTTCAACCTTGGCATACATGGAGCAAAATTATCTCGACACATTTCAAGTCCTGGATCTGCGCCTGCTTTTCAACCACGTATAGTGCGTAAGGGAGTTCTCTTCTCAATTGACATATTTTGCTGGCAGCAGCATGGAAGGCTGGTGGTCTTTTAAAGACAATGAGAAAAAGCCAAGTTGGTGCATTTGGGCAGCAGCTACAGATGAGAAAGATAGTTCAGTCCAAGTGACATCTCTCCTGGGTACCTGCTGAGAACTCCAATCTTCCTGTGTGTCCAGATGAAACTGAGAAGGACCACCTCCAGCCTTCTGCAGAAGACCGCCAAAGGCCTTTGCAAACAGCCCCACAGAAGTGGCAAGGCCTGCTGGGATTTAATCCCTTCCCTAACAAGGCTTTCATTCAGGCCTTCATCCAGATTAGAAGGTCTGATTTCTCAGAAACTTCTTTGAGTGAAAACAAGGCACCTCCTGCTTTCAGAGAGATCAAGGTCCAATTACAATGCTAGAGAACTTATAGGGGGCTGCAGATCATGACTCTAGACCTGTGTCCAGCTTTAGATGGTGACAAATAAAGCTGCTAATCAGATAGAGAATCCTTCTACCACCCCTGTGTTCCCAGAGCCAGATTTATGTCAGACTCAGTTTCTATTGTTTTTATCAAAAGAAGTGAAAATGTAACAAAAGGTACTCAGAGACTTTAAAACTGTGTGGTGCAGACTGACATTATTCTTGGCAATGGGGCAAATGTTGTCTACCATTGCTGGTAATACAAATGCTCTCTGAACTCTGATGCAAACAAGAACATAATCAAGAGGGAGAGTGTTTAATAAAACACATGCAACTTTTTAAAAAGAAAACAGTGCATAGCTACTTGCCCTTATTGGTAATGTCTCTCCATAACAGGACATTTTATTGTCTTTTGAAGTTCCTCTTTGGAGTGAAATTGACTGTTTGCCATCCAGTAGTGTCAGTTTATCGCTCTTCTGGCAGTAAAGGCCCTGACACTGATTGATACAGTGGCATTAAATGTTTGTGAACATTCTAACTGCTTAGGACACAAAACTGTCAGAATACATGCAGTCCAAAATCTGTGAGGGAAGGGGGAAATTGTCACTTTGAGGTTTCAACCTCACACAGGTTCTAGAAACAGGAGTCAAGTCTCACTCTCATTGTCTTGTTATATAATTATCAAACTTCCATGTTCTAAAGTAGCTGAATGAAGATGTCCCTCCCATAGCAGTTCAGCTTGTCTATACACAACTTTTTGTGTGCCTGAAACCAATCTTCAGGTTTCTCTACATATCACAGGATAAGATGGATGGGAGGGAACAAGGAAGTGAATGGAGCTAAGGAAAACTGAGGAAGAGTAAAGAGAAGGGAAAGCCAAGGCAGCCAGAGGATGAATGGCTGGAAGGATAAAAACAAACAGGTGAAGAACAGAAGGAAGGGCAGTAGGAGGATGCTGTGCTCTGCTAACCCCCAAAATAGTTGCCCTCTAACCTGGCCTGCTGCTGCTGCAGGACCTGTTCAGGTAACAGTAATAATGATCATTATGATCATTATAATTCATTAATATAATAATGTTGACATCCATCTGTCTTGAGAGATAATGGAGTGCGCCTCTAGGGGTAAAGTCAAACCACTGGAGAATCTCTGCGCCTGTGTTATTTTTGTTGTGTTAGCAAAAGTGAGGTCCTGGGCTGCCCAGATGACAATACCTCCTTCTTGGCCTCGCTGGAAAGCAGAGCAATACGTTTGGCACCAGCTAGGCTGCAGGAATTGCCAGAAGGAGGCATAGAAGACACCATCCGACCAGCTTAGCAACTCTACTCTACTCCCTACTTCTTTGGTGCCCCAGTCCAAACTTTTAGACTGGCTTCAGATCTGCAAGGGATGACCTTGAGCATCCCCTCCTGTGTGCTAGGAGGACAAAGAGGAGCATCACATGGAGATCCCTCAAATTTCCATCCATCCACTGTCCTTGGGAGCTGCCTGACCTTGCCAGCTTTTGGAACTGACCACCACAGCTACACTGAGGTTTCCACATATTCTTGCAAAATACTTCCAGCTCTTCTGACTGAGGGTGCAACAGCTGGGATAACGATTATCGTTTGTGTGTTGGATTGTATAATTCCACTGAAATATGTCATCTGAGTAGCACCCGGCGTGAAGCCAGCCATGAGATTTTTCTGTGAAATCAAAGCATCAAACAAAAACCATGCAGCTTCAGCACACCATCTCAGAGGACATTCCCCAGTACCACCTAGTATGCGAGTGTAAAATAATAGCAGCTGAAATCTGACGGCATAAGAAGAGGATTAGCAAGAGTCTTTGCTGCAGTTTCTCCTGCTTTCCTTCTTTCACGGCTCCCCACCTCTTCAGAGATAAAGATTATGGTTGCTAAGGTAACTGAGCAAAGTAGCATAGGGGAGAAAATGTTCCCTAAATTAGTTCCTCGAGGTTCTCCAAGCACTGTTAGTTCCAAAGCGTAGCCCAAACCTGATTATAAGGGGCCTGTAATTTACTTAACCAAACACATTAGAATGCCTGGTCGTGTCTTACACACATTTCTGCTCCTGAGGTTAACTTACACTCTTAACTGTGTGGTCTCCAACCGAAAAGGATGCTCTCCGTTTGTGAACTGTTATGGAAGTCACATACAAGACAGATGGTCTTGTTGTCAATATGCACATTTTAGGCGCTGGAGCACATGGAATCTTTTGCATTTTTACAAAGGGAGCTTTGTGTGCTTAACTCAGGTGGCACATGCATGCTTTGCATGTAGAAGAGCATCAATTCAATCCTTGCCAGATGCCTGTTGGCAGGGTAGGGAAGGTCCTGTGTCTAAGATCTTGGAGTACTGTATCAGTCAAGATAGATAGTACAATGTGGACCAGGGAGTTGATTCAGTACAGGGTCCCTTCCAGCACTACAGTTCTATGATTCTCAGTCTGAGGTTGGGATGGAGGAGAAATTTAAAGGTGAACTTACCTAATTCATCCTTTCTGAATCAAACACAGACAGTAATCCTTTAAATTTTGCACTTCTCCTGATCTTACAGTGCAGCTGCCCAGCCAAGTGATGTGTACAAAAAATGGACATACTATTGTAAAGTGTGCATACAAATGCATATATTAGTGAAATAACATACAATAATATTTTTTTGGGGGGGAGAATTGCTCGCAGAAATGTGTACATTAGTCAAAACTGCATACAAAAATGTGTTTACTAAGAGAAATTCACACCAAAATGCTGGTGAGGATTATTTTAACTAACATTTGCAAATTGCTACAGAAATGTAGAGAACTGAACCAACAGGTTGGTCCATCCCTAAGTCGGAGGGCCGAGCTCCATGCAGTGCTAACTGTGGAGCCTGCAATCATGTTGTTGTCTTCCTTGTTTGATTACAGGCATTGGGACAAGACAATCTTCATTGGTAACGCAGCATCTGAGAAGGTAGGCTTAACCCTCTCCATCGTCACCATGAAAATCCCCCCCCCCCCATGCTGCAGTTAGGCTTAGAAGACTTCATTGGCACCGGTGGTTTAGCTTTGGCCATGGCCACTGCTGGCAAGTGGGCATCAGAGGGTTGCCCTGTAGTGAAGGTAGCCACCTCTGGCCTAGGGATGAAGAATCCCCCCATTGTACATTGACCCAAGGATTGGCTTTGGCTTGTTCTTGATGTTACTTCTGTTCTGTTTGGCACAACACACTCCTGCCATCAAGCCCTTGACCAATTATAAGGAGCACGTGATTCCCAAGTTGTAACAGCTACACTGGTTGCCAGTCCATTTCTGGGCACAACTCAAAATGCTGGTTATGACCTATAACAGAGTCTTTTAATATGTCTGTAGGGTGGCAACACGAGAATGGGCCTTTTCTGCAGTAGCTCCCCATTTGTGGAATACTTTCCCCAGGGAGGTTCGCCTGGCGCCTTCATTATACACCTTTAGGCACCAAGCAAAAATGTTCCTCTTCAACCAGACCTTTAGCCAACTAGCATCCTATAAAATTTTTAATGTATTTATGGGAGGGGGAGGGAGGCTGTTGGCTTGTTTTGTTCTTGTTTTTATTATGTATTCTGTGTATTTAGCTTGTATTTTTATGCTGCGAACCACCCGGGGAGCTACAGGTGAGGGGCAGTATACAATTTAATAAATACCGTATTTTTTGCACCATAACACTCACTTTTTTCCTCCTAAAAAGTAAGGGAAAATGTCTGTGCGTGTTATGGAGGGAATGCCTACGGGTGGCATGCCTACAGATTTTCCTCCTCTTAAAAACTACGTGCGTGTTATGGTCGGGTGCGTGTTATAGAGCAAAAAATACGGTAGTAATAATTTATTAATAAAAACTCATACGTAGAAATATGGGAAGGAAAGAAATTGCACTTCAGAAGGCTTAAAATAGGAGCCTCCTGTAACATTAGAATACTCTTCATGTTTCAGTGTGCAGTCTTTAGCTCTTCAAATGTTCATGTGATCACATTTATGATTCCTGAGAAACTGAACATTGTTTTGTTGGTTTGTTGTTGTTTTAAACAAAAAGAGTGTCCTTCAAAAGAAGGGTACTTAAGAGTTGATCTCCCTTATTTAATTTAAAAATAAATAAATCCCAAAGGCCTCCCTAACCAAAATTAAGTACCGGTAACTTTCAATCCAAAATTAAGTGTATTTGAACTACGTGAAATTTCATTCAGAAATAAATTAAGACATTGGGACTCAAAACATGCCTATCTTTGACTGGATTTCACAGTTTGTTAACTGTAAAGACTAAGAATGCTTTTGAAGTTCAACTCATCCAAATTTCTCCCTGGACTTTAGTGTTTTGAATTTCATGGTCTCTTATTTCTGCACTGCCACCAAGGCTTTCAGAATTTACCATAGCTTAGTTTATTATTTCCAAATTTTAAACATAATGCAGTGCATGCAGTTTACCGCAGCTTTCTTTTCCTTTATGTCTTATCTACCACCGCCGCACTGTAAAAAACAAAAACCAGCCACATCTATATGATCACATCAAGATTACTGTGTCATAATGCTGACTTTGCCATTTCCTGAGCAGATTATCCCATGATGGCATCAGAATTCTTTTTGTAGTTTTACCTGTGCGCTTGCATGAATACATAAAACGTTAAAAAAAGGTGGATTTGCAGAAGAGCCAATGATCAGAAAGGGGCCCATCCCCGATTTGGACTCGATGAGTGCTAAGGAAATAGGAAACTCAACATTATTTATGACACATTAAAAACTAAAAGGCATGCATTTTATAGAAACCCACATTATCTTTTTTTCCCTTCTCTCCCTCAGGAATAATACTGCAGGATTTGACTTGCATAATTTCCTTCTGAAGTAATATCAGTCACTAAGCCATGCTTCAAGAGCTATGGGGCAGGGGGATTTCTACAAACTCTTGCATTTCCTGTCCACAGAGCTGTCTTAAAGCTCCTGTCATTTTAGCTGTTGAACTTTCAGAGCTAGTTCATAGCAAGAGTGACAGGACAGGACAAAGGGGAGCATTCCAAGTGTAACTGAAGCAGACATTTAAAGGAAATCTGCAAGCTTCTTGTTGGAGATGCCCTGTTTTTTTGTTAAGGTGAGAGTCTAAATGGACCCAAACATTTCTGCTAGTGAAATAAAACCTCAGGAGAACTTGTTCATTGGAGAGAAAATCTCAAATAATTTATTGACCTTCAGTTTCACATTGTGAAAAAAAAAATGCAGTTTTACAAAACCTCAAAATGTAGTAGCAAACAAAGAGAGACAACATAGATATTTTACTTCTTCACTGGTACGGCTTTCCTCCCCCCTCCCCCCCCCCCGTTTTTTTGTACGTGAACCGCATCTTCAATTGTCAGACAAGGGACACTATTCAGTTCTAATCACTCTTATTCAGACAGGTGTCAGGCCTAGAAAAAAGGGCCTACACAATTATACCAGAAGTGGTAGGCTGTCCTTTGTTCCATGTTTCCACAGCAACCAGCCCACAAAATAGGAACTTTTCTCGTCTTATGCCAAGGTTTTGGTGTGTACTCTGGTGTGAATTGCATTTCTCTCAGAAGTGTAGGGTGTTTTTCGGACTGGAATCGCCAAGTAGTAAGCCAGGATTCCCACGTCTATTCAAAGAGCAGGAACCCAAAATATTTGCCTGCAGGGCTAGGGGCCACCCTAGTTTTTTGTTTTCTTCAACCTAGGCCCAGGAATTAAATCCAAGGACTTGAAAGCAAACCACTGCTTTGAAATACAACTGTGGAGACTTCGGACGCTTCAGGCAATTGGATGGTATTACAAAACAGATTTGTGTCATAAGCTAAACAGTTATAGAGAGAGCTGCTGCAGACAGGATTCTGTCACTTCCCTAAACAAAGGGTTTTGAGCCATTTACTCAAAACACCTTGGGAGTAATGCATGCCTGTGTTAAGTGAATGCAAAAACATGATTATAGTTTTGCAAGGCTTTACAGGTTACTTTTTCTTTTATGGAAGGGCAGAGACACCCCCAAACCAAAAGTGAGAGACAACCCTTGCATAAAGGGTTTGTGGTGGTGGACTTTATACAAACCAAATTTAAGTTTGGGTAGTTTTTTGTTTGTTTGTAAAAGCAATGTTCTATAGCTTTCCCCAGGTTTTTAAGTCATCCACTATGCATTACTTGAAAGAGAGTTTCCCATCTTTCACAATTTATTACTAAACTTACTGGCATTTTATGTTGTTGCTGTGTAAAAGAATCCTTTTCAGAGCCAACTTCAGCAATGATTCTTAAACCAACAAACAGTAAATGCCAACAGCCCTTTCTAGAGCAAAGAGTGACCTGCAGCAAATCACCACTCCTACTGCACTCCGGTGCAGCTGTTCTGAGGGCACTGGCCCTCAATAGCCAATACACTAGGCTTCACTGAAAAATGATCAATGGCGTTTAGGAACACTTCCATTTTTCTTCCACCCCAGGCACTCGGTACATTTGAATCAAAGTTTGAAAAGAGTTTTGTTCTAGAATCCACTCAAACAGCCTCCCTCGATACAGCTGTAATAGCCGAAAATGGTAAAGCTGGTCAAAAACATGCAAATCAAAACAGTGGTCTGTAAATCAAACTTTATGGTGCATACTGTTCAGATTTTCTTGAAAACCTTCCTGGCTAGCCATGCTAAGAACCACTACTTGCTATTTGCAAAATTGCACACACACCCATTTCTCATTAAAGCGAATAGGAATACATAAGAAATGCACATAATTGAGTCTGCAGAATTAGCCTATGGCAGCATGAGAAGAGTCTTAAGACTGATAATGCCATCCTAAACATACTTACTAAGAAGTAAGCCCCACACAATGCGGTGTGGGTTTACTTCTGTGTAAGCACTCAAAGGAATGCAATGTAAGATTACTGTGTTTCCCATATGGTGAAGAGTGTGAAGAGTTGAGCTACATCATCATCATCATGTAGGCAGGCATCATCATCATAATTCCTTTTAGGCATGCATGCATGCATTTTAAAGTAATTTTGCTTATACAACATTAAGACAAGACAACCAACCACGATGAGGACTGGCAGCTTCACGCTGGTGGAGCTGCACCGATTCTCATGGATAGCACAACTAAAAGTCTGGCAAAGACACAAAGTGTAAAAAAACAAACAAACCAAGAATGGAATGGAATGATCAGGCTTGAAAAGTAAGAACTAAAAAAATAAATTCCAGGGGATGGGACTTTGATCGGGATCCTATGTGATGGTTCCAGATAGTATGCATTTGAAAGCTTAACTTGCTAATTAATGAAGGAATTATCATTATTATTAAACCAGTGTTTGAGCAACTTTTCTCCTTTGTCATCCTAACAATCATGCCAAACCTTGTAAGACACTGATGGTGTGGGTGTGGGTGTACAATTTAAATTCAAAAGTGGATGGACAAAGAGTCGGGTGTTAATTTTAAAAAATAAAGAAAAAGCAAACAAAAAACAAAAAACCGCTTCCCCACTTCTTTATTTTGCTGTGTATCTCTGAATCAAAAATACTTCCCACGGTTGGATGAAGTGGGTCCATAGTAGACATCCCATCGGCTAACTTTAAATAAATAAATAAACAAAATAAAATGTTGGATAATGCCATGAACAGGGCTCTGTGTAAATTAATTCTGCAGGGGCTTTCCACACACACCCCTTTTCCAGTAGCGATGAGGCTGCACAAGAAGAAAACTGTTAAGTGACAGTGGCTACTTCCAGATGAGTTCCTTCAAAAAAAAAAGAAAAAGGTAACACTAGGCAAATCAAGTGTAACAGGGATACCACTGGCAAGCCACACAAAGCAGTGGCCTGAGAAAGTGACCTCCATGGCTTCCTCCTTCAGTATACATATAATTTAAGATGCTACCTTGTAATCCTTCAATTTCTGACTCCTTACCTCATTTCTCCTCTCCCCAAATATTACTCAGCACTTTTTCTTCTTGCGCAGCACAGCAAGTCACGAGACCACAGAATGTGCAAAACATACGATTCACATAAGCCCTTAAAAGACAACTGTAGGCATCGTTCCCTCCGCATGCAAGCACTGAACAATAAATAGCTATATCTACAACAAGTAACAATTTAAGAGTAGGACAGTCGTAATTAATAAATACAAGAGGAAATCAAATGCGTGGGGAGTGGGGAAAATGGAGTTATTTCCCTTCGCCCACAAAATGCTGCAAAAAACCTCCTTTCTCTCTCTCTCTCTTTTAATAGGTGTTCTGCTCCTTAGCAAGTAGAAGGTCACTCACTGCAGCTACAACAATGCTGCTCAGCAATTTGAACCGATGCTCCAGGCACTGCCTAAGAGAACAAGCCCTTCCCTGTGGCAGGGGATACAGCTGCATCTTCATTCACAAAGACATCTTGCTGCTCCAGACCTGGCCCACTTCCTCAGCAGCTGCTGCTGACACTTCAAGCTGCCACAAAGGAGAGGTGACAACCATTTCAAATTTTGCACACAAACAGCAAAGTCCATGAAAATCGAGGGTTTGTGCTGTGTTGTGCAGCTCTGAAAAGTTCAGCTTCCCCCCCGCTTTGAAGGGCTGATTAAACTTGACATTAATCCACAATTACTAACACAGGGATCGGATCATAGGTTCATTCATTCATAGTTAAACTATGTGCTGATATACTGAAGACAATATTCTCCCTCCCATTCCTTCATTTCCAGCTTTTTAAGAATTTAGAAGGTGCAGAATATTTTCTTCAAACTCAAAATAAAAAGGAACAGTTTTTTTCTTCATTAAAGCTGCTTCTCCACAGTTCCAACATTTCTTCACCAAATAATGGAACAAGCTAAAAGAAAGAAAGAAAAAAGAAGGAAGTTTAGGGGGTTCAATGAAACAAATACCATAAGACTTTGAATGTCAGGCCTCGTTTATAGAAAATGCTGGTGCCTTTTTTAGAACTTGTCCAATAACCAGCAGCCGATAGCTCACAGACTACAAATATCAAAGTTATATAGACTCCAGTTAGGCCGCAAACCTATGCAAATTTACCTGGGAGTAAATCCCATTCAACTTAATGAGTCTTATATCTGTGTAAACATGTATAGGATTCCACTGTTAAGCACTCCTTCTGAGAGCATTCACAGCAAAGGTTTCTGCTTAATATAAGTAACATGGTTGGGGGACGGACGGTTCAATTTGATTGATTGATTGATTGATTGATTGATCCAGTATGGAACTCTCCTGTGAGCTGCATGAGCAGATAATGTGACAGAGACAGAATAAAAATTCACGTAATGCAAACTTTCTGGCAGAAGTAGCAAGACAGCCATTTTGGTCATGAGCCAAATCAAACTAGCCAAGGAGAGAAAAGGGAGCGGGGGGAGGGGGGAGCCAGCCTGTTGGAAATAAAATCTCTAACCAATGCCCTCTGTTAACCATGGAGAATCCTGAATGGAATTGATTCAGCATATGAATGGCAGACATATTAATCCCCTTATTTAAAACGTTTCTGCTATTCATTATGTCAGAACTCTGCTTTGCTGTGCTTTGTCATGTGACAATGTAGTATGCTTCGATGCCTCTGCACTGAAGCCTTCTCCCCAACCCCCCCCCACACCCCCTTGCGTTGATTATGCAGCGCAAAATATTGGCTTTGGACCCGGCCGTTTTTTTGGCGTCCAGACTCCACCTTCTCACTTCATTATTATGCTCAGAGCCAGTTTTCAAACCAGGCACCACGCTGGTTTTTAAAGTAGCAATTAATAGCTCTGCCAGAATGTATGAGGCAAAGTTTGATGGGATTTCCGCTGGGGTAATTGCAGAACTGCTCCAGTTAACTTGGTGCGACTGATTTGAATGTACATGTGTGTTACTGAAAGCTCAAGTCAACCTTAAACTAAAAGCACTGTACTAGAACCGCAGTACAGAAGAGTGCATTCAGAATAAATCTGCAGCCCTAGCTCATCGCCTCTCGCAGATTAAAGATACAGCCCCTTCATTATTTTCGAAATATTTCCTGCTGATCAGAGTCTTCTACACATTCTTGTGCCTGGTGTGTCATTCCCCACCCTCCCACCCCTCAACTTCCACTCCAGCCACTGAAACCAGTATTCGCATTTTTGTGGGGGGGTGGGATAGGGTCCCCTGCTCCAGAGCCTACAAGTCTGAGAGAGGAGACAAAGCACACTTAAGATCTTCCTAACTGCTGTCAGGCTGGGGCCACACAGCGCCATGAAAACAGAGCGCAATCAGAAGTAATTTCCTTTCTGTCCCTCCCTCCCACTGAGAAAGCAGCAGGAGACAGTAAAAAAAAGAAGAAGAGAAGAGATCTATTTGCTGGATGTATATGCAGCCCTAGAGACTGAATTCTACAGTTATCTTAATGCATTACAGAAGCTAAGGAATGGCTTTGTGTCTACAGAGTGTATGGGGGAGCAGACATCTGAGATGGGCAGCACAGCAAGCAAATTTGCTCTGTGCCCTTGCTAACATGAAAGGGCAGTCCTCTGATTATGTACACGATACCCATTTGTTTTATTATGGTTGTTATTTTTAGAACAATTCGGGGAAATCTTGAAAGACCGCATCACTGTCTCTCTGGGGACAATTTGGAGTGAAGGATTTGTTACTCGCAAGATAATCACATCCATGGCCGCTAAAACAATAGACTACAAATAGCGTGATCTGAAGAAACACTACTGCACTCTAGGAAGGTTGATGTGATTTTTGTTGTTGCTGCTGTTGCTACTGTTATTTTGCTTAATTGTTTTAGTCAAGGGACAGTCACAATTATCATCTTTGGCATGCAGGTTATTCTCAAATACAAGTGATATCAGTGAATGGTCTGAGAGCATCTATAGGCCAATGGTTGAGAACCTCAAGCTTGCAGGTTCCCCACTATGAGTTCTTTGGAATTAAGGCTGTGATCCTGCAACCATATTGGCTGGTGTTTCTACACTTCGGTGGCCCAATCTGCAATAGTTTTTATTGCTATGTCTAATGGCTCTCCTTGTTTGCTATTTACTATGTTACAGAGGCAATAGTTTGTCCAACTTTTATTGCAAAAACCACTTAGCTAGTTCCTTTTAATCTACCCACCAATTGTAACCTTCACAAGGAAAGAATATCAAAGAGTCTTTACAACCTGGCTGGCTTTACAGGCCTATTATGCAGCTTCCAAATGTTGGAAGAAAATACAGTGCAAGCATCTTGTAGCATGAACTGCATTTCTCAGACTACTTACACTGGAGTAGCCTCACTACTAGTTAATAACCAAGTCTGGCTTTTTGTTGTTTTCTTTTAATGATTTTTTTAAAGGCAACAGTCAGCTATGAATTGGATTGGGCTGCACACATCCCAGGGAAAAAGGAAAAACACCCACACTTGGGTGTTGGAAGTACAAGTTAACCTAGAAGTAAGCCCCTCTGAGTTCTAAGGGAACCGATTTCCAAGCAAATGTGCTTAGGATTGCAAATTTACCTTAAAATATATTTTACCAGTTTGGAACAGCAAAAGACAGTGATAGGAGGCTAACTGTTAAGAAAGTGCTATGTTTTGAGGAAGCTTCACTGGCATTTCAAAACTGGAGGAAAAAAATCGGGGGGGGGGGGGGAATGTTTGCACCAGCAAGAGAGCAGTACAAGCACCTGCATGACCAAGCTGAAATTCAGAGTTGCTTGTAGGCAGATGCCATTCCGTTGAAGTCACCAGCAATGCACCTGCCCACATCATCAGGTGAGAACTTGGGCCGCTGCACTATACTATAAAGTAGAATTTATGGGCTTTGGAACGCTCTGAGTTTGCAGACCAAATTATTACTTGAACCAAATGGCATGTCTTCTTTTAAGCATAAGGTCAGCGTGATTCACCATCAGGCACAGGAACTAAACTCTTTTTTTCCCCCTTCACAAGCAGAAGCTTTCTACTTAAATGTTATAAATAGTCGTGTTTCCACCAAGTTCAACAACCTAAGCCCACAGCTTTCCCCTTTGATGTTATATACCAAATGTATTTTCGAAAAATGTAGTCCATGCAAACAGATGATAGTTGCCTATTTATACTTTAAGGTCAACAACTATCCTGCTTGCTCCATGATTGCAAATATATTTCCCTGCAATTAGTCAATTTAACTTATTTCCAGATAGTGTAGTTAGTAAAGCAGTAATAGGAGTTGTAACAGGAGTCGAGTAGATAATTTCATGAATAAGCTAAATCTCATGTAGTTCAGACAATACTATCCAGTATCAGGAAAAAAAAGTTTTGATATTTTCATTTTTATATCTATGTGCAAGCGATCTCCAACTACCCTCAAGTACTTACTTGCACAAAGATAACATGTGAAGCAAATAATCATAAATACATCCAAAAGCAATTTTTGTGCCATAAATTACTAATGGTTGTTATCTATGATTGACTAGTCCATCATTATATTGCCCACACAAATGCATAGCTGGGGACAATTAGGACTGCTCACAGTGCTGAACAAAACACCTTGCGCAAACTGATCTTATATTGCAAGCCAGTGAGGTTTAATTAAGACAGTGGGGTTCTATTCCTGATTCTGTCAACATGAGATGGCATTGGCTGAATCACACCAGCCTTTTCTGTTTCCTATTCCACTAACAAAAAGCATTATAATCAACATTTGAATCTCTTGAGCTTATGGGTAAGATATATAGCAACTTGTAACTTGCAGGTGTGGTTTCTTACCTGTATAGGCACCTATGCAGTTAAGAAGGGAGATGCTTCCATGTGCTCACAAATGCAGTGGGAATTAGGGAGTAGGGCACTGTGGTTATGCTGTTCCATACATCTAGAGTGGGGTCATAGCAATCTAGCGTCTTGCATCTCTGGATGCCAAAATATCCCCCAACAACATACAGCTTGTTTCCCGACGCTACTGCATGGCAGCTCATTCTCTTAGCTGTAACATCTCCCACTTTAGTCCACTGGTAAGTTTCACTGTTGAATTTATAAGCCGAGCATGCGGAGAATTCAGTATCTCCACCCATAATAAAGATCTGGTTGCCCAGAACAGCTGCAGCTGTGTATCGCCATGGCTGGGGGCAGGTGGCTGGTACTGTCCATCTGTTTTCGCAAAGGTCGTAACACTGAACTTTGGGGAGCTTATCATGGCTGACACTGGTACCGCCAAAGGCAAACAGCTTCAGCTTTGCACTGACTACAGCTGCATTGCTTACTCCTTCTCGAAGTGGAGCGACCATTGTCCATTTGTTGGTCACAGGATCATACTGTTCTACTTGCTTTAAGGATACTGAAGGAGAAGCTGGGAGGCAACCAGTGGCTGCTGTGTGCCCTCCAACAACATATAGACAATGTTTGAGTTCAGCAGAACCATGACCAAACCGAGCTACTAGCATGGGAGCAGCCTTGGACCACTCTTCATGAAGTGTATCATAGACCCAAACATCTTTAGAGACGCCGTTTTCAGATCCCCGGCCACCTGTAATATAGACTTTACAGCCAATAGCGCATGCACTGAACTCTTTCCTTGGGCTTGGGATGTCAGCTTTGGGGATGATCTCCTTTGCTTTTTGGTCAACCAGGTACAACTTGTCACACATAAAGGTTTGTCCTCCTAAAAGAAATAGGGCATGGCCAGTTTTTCGAGGCCTCGCACACAAACTGGTGACTACACCGTCATTCTGCAAAATCTTCAACTTGCACCTTATTGCTTCTTCAACAATCTCTTTGCTCTTCCTCTGCTTAGTGATAAGCTCCTCAGTAGCCACATTCTCCATCAGATAGATGGCTGGCAAAAGGGCCAGTCTCACCGTCTGCAACAGTTCTGGTAGATAACAGTAGCGTTTGTTCAGATCATAGTTAATCCAATTCATGGCAGACTCATACACCAGACGCTCATCTTCAGTCTCCAATTCTTCACTAGACAGGAGCTGCACAACCATGTCTTTTGGGAGCTGGAGAAAATCTTCGCTTTTGCTGATAGCCTGGAAGTTGCTAAGGCACATCCTCCAAGAGAGCTCATAGAGTTTGGTACACTGGTGAGCATCAGACAGAAGCAGCATGCCGAGGCAGTTAGTAGGATGAAGATTTTTCTCCAGGAATTCTGCACAAGCATCTCTGATGTCTTGAAACTCCAACATGTCTCCAGCCTCCAGAAGAGACTCAGCATTTTCTTCATTGATGATGACCCTTGAGGAGTACGCATAGTCCAGGAGAAGTTCTAGAACCTCTGGGTGGATGGAATTATGGAAGTTGACTTCACTGGCTTGGCTCTCCTTGAGTCCTCCACTGAACATGGCTTCAAAGTATCGACTGCAAGCAGCTAAGACAGCTCTATGGCAAGGGAATGACTTGCTCCCAGCATGGAGAAGCACATCCGTAAAAAGACGTTGTTGGCGCAGAAGGTTTAGATGAGTGAGAACGCTATCAGCATATGAAGATTTGTGGAACAGATATATGTTTATGGAGCCAGTGCTGGCTCTAGATTTGCGATTCTCGTGCATGCTGACTGACATTTTCTTCCACACCTAAACATAAAAAAATACAGTTAAGTCTCAGGAGATAACAATGATGATGATATTCTCTTTTCCTCCACCACCCACATCTTGCAAAACGTAACCGAATTCTGAGCAATTCTAAACAGAAGCTGAAGACACAGACTATTGAGCCTGTTTGTGTTTTAACGATACAAATTTCTTAACTGGCATATTCTGAAAATTGTTGCTCAAGATAGCAGGTTTATCTTGGCAAACTAGATAGCCTACTTTCATGGCAATATATGTTGGCACTGTAACTCAGAAAAGAGGGGAAAGAGACAGCTCTGATTTTTGTCACACCTCCCCAGTACAGAGCAGCTGATTCACCAAATATGCAGATACACATATTTAAAACATTGTTGTGCTTTGAATCATAGCAGGATGAGCAACAAGACACACTACATTCAGGAATGTAAAAATACTGCTTGGAGCACCAACATCCACAAATGAAACTCATTAAGATACTATCCTCATACAACCGTTCCAAACACACCAAAAAGGTATGTAAAAGGAAAGACAGAAACCATGCCTAGCATATTTTACTTTCTGTTATGAGTAGCAGATATTCTAAGATGGCAAGCACTGTGATTTAATAATATTCTAAAACAAAATAGAGCCCATGTTCTGGAGTATCCTTCAATTCTGAGAGCAAAAACTATTGCATTAATCTCAAGTGGGTTATGCCCTTGCGCATGTAAGTTCAGATTTAGTGACAAGGGATACAAAACCATGGCAAGAGAGATCTATAAGCCAGCACCCTAACAAAATAGATCCTTGCAGCCTGATAGGTCTTTATTAATGGTTCCAGGTTCAAGTCAAGACATTTTGTCCCATTAGGAAGACACAAGAGATAGAGGAGGCTTTTGGGCACCAAGAGAACACAGGTAGGAGAGGAAGATTTAACACACCACAGCAAAAAGTTCTCTCACTCATAACTGAGTTTAAAGTCCAGTGGGGTTGGGTCTACTTGCTGTGCAGGTCAGACCAGCTCTGATTCAAGTTTCATAGAAACAACCACAGCCCACAGAATAAGAGCCTAAGTAAGTCTTCACAGTCCAGAGGTAGGAGTGAAGGAAGTCTGGAGAGCAGAAAGTTATAATTTGCATGGCCTCCATGAAACTTTCCCACAAGACTAAGCCTGTCACCCAAGCAGAAAGTGTCAACAGAAGAAAGAGAAGCTGAACTATTCATTAATCTGCAGCTGGGTGATGAGTCAGATATGAAAGGACACCTGAAAGGACGCGGCCAGTGACTTTTTTTTCCAGGAGGCACTCAAGAGTATGCAGTACCGGCACCTCTCCTTGTTGTTAAAGAGCGTGGCACTTACTTTAACAAATTTGGTGAATACCGGCACCTATTTTTATTGGGAAAAAGCACTGGATGTGACCATACCCTAGACATACATAAAGCTCAGGGAAAGTAGGTATGTTTCATAATACAGTATGTCCACAATGCTTGATTAGAAGCACAATGCCCTTGAGCAAAGGCAAAGAGCCGCTACAGGGGAGGAGACAGTCCACCAACCAACTCATATTTGAGTATTTAGTTGACATCTCTAACCTCTGGCCAGCAACAGTGGAGAAACGGCACCATCACGGCCCTACTGGACACACCAACTAGGGCACAAAATGGGAGGCCAGGCTAGGACAAGAGGTCCAGACTGGGCCCACAGTCATCCCATTGTGATGACACCAGCACCAGCTCAACCAGCCTACCACTTGGGTAGGTGTATTGGGGGTGTTCCTTGCTAGTGGGGGCTCCTCTGCTGGTGGGGGGGTACACCTCCACTGCATCCAAACCTCCTTCAACATGGCAGATCAGGGGTTTAGATTGCTCTGCAGGTTTTCCTTATTTGATATCACCTTATGGAGAAGGTGTTGGCTGTCATGCTAGCTTTTGAAGCCTCTGTAGTACAGGTGCTGATCCCTGCTAAGCACTTGTGGAAATTGCTACGAGACTAGGACCTTTTCAAGCGTTACAGCCCAATCCTAGTAATAATTACTCAGAACCAAGTTATCTTTGATTTGGGAAATAAAGCCTCAGTTTGAGTGGAAATCCATCAATGGGTCACCACAATGTACAGTCGGCACATCTCAGCATTACAGATGTGGCGTACCTTGATGGTGAAATATGCAGTAATCCTTTTATTATCTGGATTTGCGGCCTTTGTATGGAATGAACAGCACTGCAAGTGAATTTCTGAGATACATCTTGCAAGCAGTCTGCATGCTGAGTCTAATGTTTCACATTTCTCCATTAACATGGTTCAGTGTGAGCAATCAAGAAGAAAATGCAGACTCGGGCTGCAATCCTAAACACAGTTACCATGGAGTAAACCACACTGATTCTACTCCAGAGTAAAAACGTTTAAGATTGTGTTGTCTCACCATATATATCAAATTAGACACAGGGAATAAAATTGTTATTAGCTCTTACAGCTAAGCAAATTATCTGACAAACAATCATACATTAACCTGGCATTCCAAAGCCCCCAAAACTAATCTTGGATTACCACTTACCTCGTTGCCTCAAGGAGTCCCCGGTATACCTACCGGAAAGTTAGATGATGTTATCACCCCATGAGTTAGAATCATCAAGTGAAAACTTGCAGCTGGAACCTAATACGTACTATGCAACTAGCCTAGTTTTTCCTTAGTATTTATAACTTACTATTGCCAGATGGAGGAATCCCCCAAAACCTCTAAGGCCTAGCCACTGAACTCAGTTGACATCATACGTCTAGAAGGTATCCATTCCTCATTTCAGCCTACTGCAGAAAATCATTACGATCTGAATCCAGATTTATGTCACCAGCAGAAACCATGAGAAAAAGAAGCCTAAGAAATTTGAGATACCTGCTCAGATTAGGTAAGTATGTTATCAAATCTGATCCTACAAATAATATTGACTTGACCTCTGCAGATAGGATCCTTTGTGCTTGTGAAACAAACTCTAGACAGACTTACTACTCTACTCACATAAAAATTTATTAAGGGATCAGACCTTCCTAAAAGTAGTCCTGGGCAGGAAGACAGAAAGTCTGTGGATTAACACACAGTGGCCTGGTTCGCATGACACACTAAGCCAAACCTTGGTTTAGTGAGCGTACACAAATGTTCCCAGAGAATAGCCACTTGGCTCCTCCTATGTCCCTTTTGCTCTTGCAAAAAAGCAAACCATGGCTACGGCTTGTGGGTAGTGATGAGAGAGCTCACCACACCTTGCGAAACCTGGGCTTAATTCAGTGCCAGCACAGGAGCAAAGGGGACAAGGAAAGAGCAAAGCAGCTGCGAGAGCCGGCACATTCACGTGCTCCTGCTAAGCCAAGGTTTTGCTTACTGTGCCATGCAAACCAGCTCAAACTTAAAATATACAAAAAGGAATACTTGAAGCTGCAGCAGGTTTGGTTCCATGTAGTACTTGTAAGTCAAGTCTCTCCAAGGTGTGGCTATACAGCATCATGTAAGAGGAGGTCCTTAACATGTAAGTTAAAAGCCTGAAGCTAAACAAGATAATGTCTCAAGTTTAAAAATTCCTCTGAGCAGAGATTAACAATTTGTAATCTGACAGCATTTGCATAAACGGAACAAAAGCAGGAAAGAGCCCATCGATACAGATTGCTGAAGGTCACCTGCCAGTATGGTTTTTCAGCAATCCATGCCCTTGTAAAGGGGTGCTGTGTCAAGCTTTTGTGAATCTGAAAAATAATAAAACTGCAATTTCAGAAGAATTCTGAGCAGAACAAGTAAACCTGGATTTTAAAAAAAGCACACAACTTCCTTATGCTCACTTCCTTATACGCTTCTAACAATAACTCAAAATACACTGATACAAGAGTATCACTGTTATTTTTGAAATAATGCCTAAATAAATATTCTAATGCTTTTTAATACAATTTCATTACAGAGGGTTCTAAGAATGCAACAGAACCCTGTTACGAAAAGTATGACCTTATGGCTAACTGGTTATCTCTCATATGGCTCCATCTCAACACATCTATTTCTATGAACTTCTGCTTATCTGGACATATGGGGGTGTCCTACAGTCCACTAGAATAAATCATTTTGCATTTAAAGCTATCCGTTGAAACACTTTGCTCCTTTGTTGCTGCAGATTACGCAAGCCACAAATATTTTAACTAAGATAGCTTGGCAAAGACACTGAACAAAAAAGATGAGGCAACACCCTTCAGGTAATTCCCCCTCCCCCTAAAATTAACAACATGTAATCTGCATATAGTGCATTTCATACTGAAACGCTGCTGCATTATTAGGAATTCAGTAGGAAGCATATCAAAGCAACTACACAACTGACTGATGGCTCATGGTCCTCATTCTTAAAGCTTTCTAGAATGCAAGAAATACTTTGCTGGACCAGACAAATCTAGTCTGATCTGTTTCCAGCACCAGCCTACAAACTACATAGCATTCAGTTGATTCTGAAATCTCAAAAGCAAGTCATGATGCCAATGGCTATTGCCTATTCATTGTTCCACAAACCCACCCACACACCTGTTATTCACAGATATATTGCCACTGAACAGGGAGGCTCCACATAGTCTCCAAAGAGAAACTGTGACAACTGGGAGTCTTGGCCAAATCAATGAGCAAATGAGCAGAGAGCAGATTAAAAGCAGAGACAGGTTGAGACAAAACAAACATGTAACTAAAATGCTATCTCCAGTGACTATTCAATAATTCAGCTGAGTGTTTATTCCTGAGTAACTTTTAACAAACACACACTGGTAAGCACAGTCTAGCTGAAAGTCTCTGAGTTCTTTGGTGTTAGGATGAAATCTGGGAAAACTAAAGATCTGCACACACCTTGCTCTAAGCAGCTGATCCAATAAGGGTATCCCCTTACTAATTTTCTGTTTTTCATATGCAGCAATAATACCTTACCCAATGAAAAAGAAAATACCCTAAGGCTAAAATCTTCTTTTGCTTCCTGTGTGCAGCTCCCTCTCAAACTTCACAGGAGCTGCATGAGGGGTGGACTCAAGTCAACTGCCTTGAGAACTGTGGGTGTAGGGCAGTATATAAATTTAATAAATAATAATAATAAGCAAATACTGATACAGTTCATCATTCTTTATCACATGTACTAATGTATGGTTAGGAAAATATTCCATTATATTGTTAAATAAACTGATTTTGGTTCACAAAGACCTCCTGGTCTGTGCAACATATTAATCTTTTTCTGGTAAACAGAAATGCATAGCCATAGTTCAACGGTTCATACAAATACCTGGCACTATTCTATCATCTTATCAGGGTAGCAATAAACGTAGTAATGCAGAAACAGATGAGCCGGCTTTCTTGAACCAGCACAGGAAGTTATTGTTTGGATAATATTTTGCATCGGGTTTTAAATATTCAAATGAAGTATAGGTAAATATATATATATTTACTTTTTAAAAGACCCCTCCATAGCGACCACAAGTGAAAAAGTGATAACTAGGATTTCCCAATATCCTTTAAGCTTTCTTTATTTCAGAAAACTTGAGCATAGTGGATAAAATCCCAGCTTCATAAAATGATATAGAACACACACGCCTTCGCCTCTCTTATTATTGAAATAAGATACTTCAAAATTCCCAGTGATTTGGGGAGAGAGAGAGAGAGAGAAGGGGGGAGGTTTCATGTTTCAATGGATCACGTTGTTACTTTGCGGTTCCGCCGATCAAAATACTTCTTGATTATGACGCCTGAAATGTTAAAACATGTAGAGCCGACTTCCTCGCCTAACGTGCCCATTCAGCAGCTGCCTGGAAGAGCAGCGCGCCATGTGCGTCTCTACGAAATACAAAAGCTCTGTCAACGCTTCCTCACACTTCCCTCCGCTTTGAAGTGAAGCTTGGGGAGGGGGGGGGGGAGGGAGAGAAAAGCCAGAGCCATCTCTCGGAAGAGAGAGGAAGGAAGCAAGCAGCACACCCTCTGACCTTCCCTCTTCCTGTGGGACGGAAAGGCAGAAACGTGCCCTGTCTGCAACCCGGCTCCCTTTCTCTGCGCTGTATAAACAATTGTCCCCTCGGAACAAAACCCCAGGCGCATCACACACACACACAGCTGCATTTCAAAAAGCGAAATACAGTGCAGGGGGCGGGGGCCTCGATCCTTCTTTCAAGTTCTACCTTCCGACACACACACACACCCTTCACTATCCCTCCATCCCACACTCGTGGATGCTGCTGCTTCTGGGTGCTCACGCGGCGGTGCCCTCTGTGCATGCTCAAAAAGCGCGCGTTGCAACCCTTCGCCCCGGCCTCGACGCGAACGTGGGTCGCAGGGCTGAAAGCTGCAAATCCGAGGCGCGTCCGTCTGAATTCGGAGGGGCTTGCTTCCGAGTAAGGCTGCCCAGGCTCGGGCGGGCAGCATTACAAGGGCTGCCCAGGATCGGGCGGGCAGCATGCAAGGGCTGCCCGCTCGAGCCAGGCAGAAGGTGGAACTTGGTCCGTCCGTCCGTTCCCCGCCCTGCCCCCCCCCCCATCCATTGATTGACCCGGCGCGCGCCGCTCCGGGCACCAGCAACCCTCGCGCGACTCAACAGGTCGCAGGAAGAGGCTGGAGAGAAACTTACAGCCGGCGCTTCCTCGGGGACGCTCCCGTCCAGCCTTCCGAGACCGGGGCAGCTCACGGCATGGATACGAGGCCGGTCCTTCCTCGCCCCAGGTTCCGCCGGCGCCTTTCTCCCTCTGCGTGTGGGTTCTTCAGCCGCCTGCTCCCGAGCCAGGAGAGGCTGTCTTCGCTCTTCCAAGGTAAGGGACGCCGCGCCGCTCCTGCCTGGGCAGCTGCCTCAGAGCGTCTGAGGGAGACGCTGGCGGCGGCGCTGCTGCAGGAGCAGCAGGAGGAGGAGGAGGAGGAGAAAGAAGAGGAGGCGGTGGCGGCGAAGGAGGTGGGGCTGCGGTGCGCTGCCTGCCTGCCTGCCTGGCCTCGCGCTCCTGCTCTGGCCTCGGCTGGCGCGAGGGGAGAGCCTATAAAGGGGGCTGCCGGCGGGGAGCGCCGCCTATGCAAAGAGCGCCTGTGACACGCAGGGGGCGGGGAGGCCAGGCCGCCGAGAGGCTCCGGGAGGCGTAGGCAGGGTGTCCCGTTGGGGGCCGGCGGGCGGCGTGTGGGGAAGCCGGGAGGAGCGTTGCTGGCCGGGCTCCCGAGGCGCTTCCCTGCCAGCTGCGCTCGTGGTCGCTGCATGCAAAATGAAGGCGCACAAATCTCAAGGGCGCCTCAGTGTGTGGGGGGGGGGATATGCAGCGTTAGTTCCCAACATATATAGAAAGCTGAGGCAAAGGCACCCAATTCTGGAGTATATTTATGTTAAGTAATTTATACCAAAGGTAATTCATGGAAAAAACCAAAAGTGCCCGAGAGATTCTGTGGGAGGCTGCAAGGCCAGGAATAAAGCGAGGAGAGCAGCGCTCAGGGAAACTTCCTCATCCCAGTATTGTCTACGACCTTCCTGCCCTTTAAATGTGGGGGTCCCGTGCTTTTTTTTCTTTTTAAAGTGCCAGTAATCACCATGAAGTTGTTACAATAAGTACCACACTTTTAACATGGGGAGGGGGGAAGGTGTGGGTACTGCGTACCCTTGAGTACCCCAGAAGAATGCACTACACAAGATGGCCATTTCTGACTTTTCAAAGCTTGAAAATCTTTGCATTTAAAGGGGGAAAGATCTGGGACAACCCTGGGATGGGGAGGACATCATGTGGACAACCCTGTATTAATGAGAGAGGCAGGTGCAAAGCCACATATTCACGTGTTGGACAGAGGCACATCCTGAGGGCATGACGCACCACCTGTGGGGCGTGACACACCACCCATGGGGGTGAGTAGTGCGTGCCCCAGGGGGTGCCGCCGATTGGGGGTAGGCATTTTGGCCCCCCCCTTTGGAATGGCACCTGGAGCGGACTGCCCCCCCCCTCGGAATGCCCCTGGGTGTGGACAAGCCCCAGAATGCTGGACTAGGTGGCCGGATACAGCAGGGATCGTCTTATGTTATCATGTTACAATCTCATCCGTATGGGAGGGTGATATGTGCTGCTGCTGCAGTTTTGAAGAGTTAAAAGGTACGTTTCCCTATTTCTCCACATCCTGGTATATTATAGGTTGCTTCCAGACAGGTGTTTATTGTGGGACTGGGACTGCTCTCGCATACACCCCCATGACATCAGCATCAAAATGCTAGGCTGTGTTTCATACCTTTTATATTCAGAGTCACAGTTTTCACAGAAAATCAGTTAAGTTTTTTTTTTTAAAAAGAAAAACAGCAACACCACACCTGCTGCCAATTTCCCATTTGCAATTTCAGAATGGTAAGTTTGCAGTATTAAACCCCCAGCTGGAAGCACCCATCGACATTTCAATTGCCTAACAACTGGGGTAAAGATAGGGCAGGATGCAATAATATTGTGCATTTCAAAAGTTTGTACAAAGCACTAGCAAAGGTGCAAGATCCTGCTGGTGGGTAAATATATATTGGAAGGTATATGCTTGAGGGTTTCCTATAGGTGTCTAGCTGGCCACTGTGGGAACAGGATTCTGGTACAAATGAGATTCAGCAGGGCTCTTCTTGTATTCTAGGTAAGCTCTTTAAGAGTGGGGGCATATCCGCACTATTACTTGTTTTTGCAGTTGTACTCACACAACACCTCAGCTTCCTGCAGTCCACATCAACAGTAGGTTTCAGCCAATTGTGGCACCTCTCCTCATTTACACAGTCAACAGAAGAGCTTGTGGCCGCCTGTGCAATTTGCATGGCTGGTCTTCCCCAGTTGTATTCTAGAGCACCAAACAGAGAGCACAGGGGTTGCTATAGAGATGTAGCCTCTGGTATAAGTTCATTGCATAGCAACAACTTAAAATACAGCATATTGTTTAGTGGTAGTGAACTCAGTTCTCTGTGCAAGCTTGAGGCAATCCAAGGTTTGCAGAAACTTCTGGGGGGCAGGGAACAGCAAGCTTCTCAATGAATGCTGAGCAATGTGTGATCAGGAGCCATACAAATGCCTTTTGACTGTTGGAGGGGGATGAGAACCCACAAAATCAGGTAATGGAGTGTCCTGGGAGAGGATAATGCTTGTTGGCTAGAACTCTAAATAGGAGCACTGCACACTGACGTTTTGTTGCTTATTTATTTGTGATCTCCTCCCCTTCCTCCATGATGATCAGGGCAAGATGGTTGTTTACCCTCAAAAGAACTATGTTGCTTTCACTGCACCTCCTACTACTACTGCTTCAGGGGACTGACAGTGATGTATCCCTTTGCAGCTTGTAACTGATTGGTAATTATAAGATAATGTGGTAATAGTTCCCCCATAGTGAGTCCGAAGGCAGCAGGAGTTGCAGGAGGATGGTTGTTAGGCTGTTGGCTATGCATGACACAATAATTTGGGGAAGGGGAGAACAGGGAGTATCAATGCACCCCAAGAAGAGAAAACAGCAAAGAGAAGAATGCAGAATAAAGATTATGTCAGGAGCTTCTCGGATGAGAAACCATAAAAATGATGGTCATTCCCATTCCATCAATATCCAGAGGCCAGAGGAATAGCCCTGGCCCCAGGAGGATGTACCATATAGTCTATTATCAACTAATTTTAAAGCCATGTGCCACTAAACCCTGTTAGACTGTGTGATTCAATTGGATAGACTGTTGTTGTGGTTGTTTTATTATGAGTGATATTTTATTGAAAAGGTGAAATGTGCACACTAGCTTCTAAATAGGGGCTATCTAGGATGAATACCTATTTGTGAAAGCAATAGGAAACAATACTTTTAGGGGAACTGTCTACACTGTGCAATGTACAATGGCTGCATGCAGTGATGGAATCTTGATTTGTCCAAAAGCAGCAAAGGAAAAGTTCAATTTTGTCTGAGAGCGGTAAATTGGAGGGAGGAATTTAAAACAGAAGATATAATCCTGTTTAATATATTGGGGGGGGGACTTTTGCCCAAATATGCATATCTATCAGCATTTAAATTCCATTAAAGAACAAAGCAGTTGATTGTGATTCCATCTATTTGGAACTTGCCATGATCCTTCTGGTTTTGATATAGATGTCTCCTCTCTTTAGGAAACAACCAATCCCAGAAAAGCAAAAAAACAAAAACTCTCCACTCTTTTTGCTGCAACCAACGCACTTTCCCCAGCCACTCTCCCCACCCCCACCCCACTTGTTTCCCGGCCAATAGCTGGCAGCGCTTGAATCAAAGCAAATGGATCTCATATGTTGCATGCTGGATGGAGTATTCTGCAGAGATAAATTTGTTGCTCTTTGAATGCCCTTTCTTTGGAGTTGTAACATTTTAATGGCAATGCCTAGGCCTTAATGCATATTACACGAACACGCTTGCCCCTCAGAGAGCTAGGCAGAAAGAAAGAAAACTGATACAGAAAGCAAACCTTCTTCATCGGGATTATTCATTTACTTTCACCAATGTCCATAAGAACAGATAGGAAAAGAAATAAATGAGATGAGGAGAAGGTGGTTTGTTTGTGCACACATAGATAGATTTGGTGAAGACCTTTATTTCAGCAGGCAAGCATTTCTAAACTTATACACCGCTTAGAAAGTAAAGCACTAAGCAGTATATAAAGCATACATAGGTTTTTATGACATCATGCATGCTGCTTAAACTGTTGGTTTTTCTTTATCCTAAGGTGATCAGTGGTGCTACTTAGAGGTGTATGTTTGCAGTTTGACCTATTTAGCTGCACACCTGTGGTCTCTTGATTATTTGACTAATTAAAAGGGAAGTTTGCTTTCTGCACCGGATGCAGGAAGGGATGTGATAGGATAATTGATTATTTGAAAACTGTGTTTAAGTTGATTGAATGTTTTGTATGCTGCTGGTGAGGAGGAGGGATGGCTTGCAGCGTTTGGTACTTATGTTTTCAAAAATAAAACTAAGCAAAGATATTGCAGACAGCCGTTTATTTCTACACTCCAGTCACTGTGCACACTCTGTGTTGGTGAAAAAGTCCAACATAAACATCACTGGGGGAAAAAAAGATAGTGGACAAAGGTACTCCAACTGACACTTGTTTACTGCTTGGAGTTTTGCTGAAATCAGCTGAATGCTCCTTGCATTATAAATTAAGCATGTGGTTGAATGAAATTCCACACACACACACCCAACCCTGGCTGACCTACTGTCTTACTGGATTTGCACGTGAGAGCACATCTCTCAGGCCAAGGTTTTGACGCAACATCCTTGAGCCTTTCACAGAAAAAGCAACAACTGGCTGAGACTCTTCAGTCCCAGTGGAAGACAGCTCACCAGCTGAGTCTCCACCATCAACATAACTAAATAACTTTCAAGAAGGCTGCTGCTTCTTAACTGATGATTGGCTAGCGCTGTTAAAATACTTAATGTTTAACGCTTGGACAGCTTGAGTGCTGATGTTTTTCTGCCTCCCTTAAGTCAGAGTTTTAATTTCCAAGCCCGGGTATAGGAGCCTCAGGCCAGCTAAGAGGTGGCAAACCATCCTAGAGTTTAAAAATAACCCGACAGGAAGGGAGAATAAACCATTTAGGCTTCCCTGGGAGGAAGTTCACAATTTAACTTGGCTATTTGCAGTTTCATTTTTTCCCTTATGCAAAAAAAAAAAAAAAAAGGAGAAAAGCATGCTGGATCATAAGATAATGGCAATGCCATTTGAACTCACTTTTTAAAAAGTTTTTAAACAGAAGTCTATTTTCAGATATCAAGAACAACAATGAGGCATATCAAGAAGAACCCAAGGCATAATGTACTCAGCGAAGTATACTCTTCGTTGTTGTTTTTTAAAAAGTGTACCCTCTGATTAGCAAAATACAATAAAACAAGTAAACTCACCAAAACTAAATAGCAATCTATGTATAGGCAAGCAACCAGAAATCAAGAATTCTGCAATGTCCAAACAGTCAGGTACAAGTCAGTAAGTAGATAGCATGGTGGCATTCTTCTAGCCAATTAACAGCTGAGTTGCTACTGCTTACCAGGAGGGAGAGGAGGAGGCATAAGAGAGATTGGTACTGTGCAAACACACCAGCAGGAACGTTGGAGTGGCTCTGCCAGTGGATTTGCACCACACTGACCTCCCCCATTTGTCCACCTAACTCAGTGTTATATACACTAATTGGCCGCAACCATAGCACTAGGGGCCCCCGTGTTTGCATTCCAAGACCACACTATAGGATTTTTATTAGTAGTAGTAACTTACTGATACTGCACCATCAATGTATATAACACCTCACAGTGTTGCATGGGCGACGTAGGTCCTGTTTTCAATGCCATTAAGCAGATAGATCCTGAGCTTTTGCTTTGTCCAACCTTTTTAACAAAATGATTTTTCTAAACTGCTGAGTAAACAACACGAGGTTAAATGTATTAGGAGCCTTCAAACATAATTTAGTTTCATGGTTTCCTAATTTACACTTTGAATTAATTAGACTGATCTAATTAATGCTAGGCTACAAACCTAATAGGGTCAGAGGCCTCCTTGGGGAATACAACCCCACAGACCCCCACAGTGGCTAACACTTGCTTTGCATATCAATTTATTTTTATGAGTTTTCTTTAGGTTGCCTCTGTATCTTGTGGTTACACACACGCCCCTTTCTCTCTCGCACACAACTTTCTTATGGCCATGTTTACCTCTACCAACCTCAGTTGCCCCCAAGTGCCTGCCGCCTTTCTTACATTCAGTTGAGTCTCAGTGTTGCTTTTGTAAAACTCACTAGCATGGGGACAAAACTGGAGTTAGTTTAGCCTCCACCTGTCATTGGATTTGGGTCCACCTACTTCTGGGCTCCCTGCTTTCTGCCACTAACCTCTGTTGTCAGAAGGTGGCAATATGTCTCTGAATACCAGTTACTGAGTATCACAAATAGGAAGGGTGCTGTTACCATCATGCTGACAGGCTTTCCACAGGCATCTACAGTCGTACCTCTGGATGCAAACAGGATCCGTTCCGGAGCCCCGTTCACATCCTGAAGTGAACGCAACCCATGTCTGCGTGTTTGCGGGTTGCGATTCACTGCTTCCGCGCATGCGCGTGATGTCATTTTGAGCGTCTGCGCATGCACGAGCGGCGAAACCCGAAAACGCTCAACCCAAAGCTACTTCAACCCGAGGTATGACTGTAGTTGGCCACTGTGAGAACTGGATGGGACTTTGGTTTGATCCAGCAGGGCTCTTTTTATGCCAGAAAACAGGGATCAGCTACAGCTCTCAGTTGAGTATGCCCTCACTGCCAAACCTGCTTTCGTTACTTTATCATAACAGAACTGCCCTTTTTCATTCCCCAGACTGCATTCCAGTCCCTTTTTAAGGAAGCACATAGAGCTGTGTTTCCTAAAGACACCTAGACAATGAACATTTCCATCTTCAGTGCATGTTTTTTATAACACTGAAAGGACACATTTGACTCTGGGAAATATCCCTAATGACATGTCACTGGAACGAAATCAGTGTAGTGCAAACATGATTCACAGACATCATTCTGTTCTGTTGTACTAGGAAGCACTGAGGCTGGTCCAGTTAAAAGTATATAATTTGTTAGGCCAAGGTTTGTTTAAATGATGGAAGTCATTTTCCTTGGTTCAAAAGAAAATTGTAGTGTGAAGTGTACTACATAATTGTGAACTAGAATCTAGAGACACTCGCACAGGACATTCACCACCTTCACTGGTTCTGATTTAAAGGAGAGGTAGGGGTAATCCTGAAGCAAGACACTGTCTCTCAGTGGCAGCTCTCCATTTTCAAAGTGGGGGTGACTGTACTGACCCACCGTACAGTGTTGTTTTAGTGAAGACCTTTGACCACTTCTAATGCTGAGGATGAAGATGATTTACATCTGGAAGTTAAAGGAGGAGTAAGAATTCTTCTGTTTTATGTGTGTCCCCTACCAAGAAAATATTAATATTAATCAATCAATAATTATATTTGTATGTTGCCTTTCCAAAGTTAAAACCATGCTCAAGGTGGCTTACAGCATATAAAAAGTATATAACTACAACCATAACAAAAGTAGCCATGAACAATAAACAATACATCAAAAAGTACATAACCAAATGTAACAATTTCCACATAAATAATAAGATCTGAAATATACAAAAAATTAACATCAACAAACCCCGCTAAGCAATACCCCAGGCCATACAATCTAGTGATCATCACAGCTTTGGGAATTTTGGCATCAAAAGCATGAAATGTTTTGGCTCAGTGTTTTTCCTATTTATATAAAGAAAGACACTGACATTTTCCAGACTATGATTCCAAAAGTATAGTTTATAAGGTGTGACTTCAATAAAAAGTATACTCTTTTGAAAGAAAGAAAAAATCAGTATAATATGTTAACTCCATAGTTAGATTCTAGTCCTGTTTTACTGATATATATTTACCAATGTTTTCAATTGGCCTTATATGGGTATAAGGGATTGGGTCCTAAATGTTGTATTAACATTTTTTGAAAGTCAGTTTGAAAGGGTATAACTCATAGCTGGGGACAGGGTGAGGGAAATGGTGTGGGAGGAGTTATTTAATCCCCAAACAGGCCAATGAGCACTGAAATGGATACACACATACTCCCAGTATACAAATTTCAGTAGCTCTTTCACAGTGTTACTATAAATGCTATTTTGATCTCTCCTTCTATGTGTAACAGGGATGGGGAACCTGCGTCCTTCCTGATGTTGATGGACTCAAACTCCCATGAGCCACAGTAAGCATGGATAATGGATGATGGGTGTTGGAGTTCAACAACATAGAGAGGCCCATAGGCTCCCCATCTCTGATTTATATCACTAAGCTGCCTTGATGAAAAATAATATACCCACAAAAAAGTTAGGAATTACTATAAATGAAAATTATCTCATATGTTTTATTTCCATCCTGGGAATAAGATATAAAGTCATTTATATATAGTCATATATAGTGCATTTGCATACATTAGTAACAGTTGTGAAATCACCAACTCATAAGAAGAGCCATTAGTGGTGGCAGCAGGAGGACGAAATGGTTTCAGGATCGTGGCCATTATTTTTGTGTTCTTCTAACTATTGATTAGATGTAGCAACTCTTAGCCCCTAATGAATGTTTTGCTGGCAGGCCTTTGAAAGGCTTTGTATAACATGATCGATCAAACCCATCCATACAGTCTATCGATCCGAATCCATAAAACTGTGTGACCTTCATAGACTTGAGTTTAGTTTAGTTTGGAAACCAGATGATTGGCTTTTAATTATATTACACATCTGATTGCCACTCAGAGCAGCAAATTGTTGATATTTTGAGTTTGTATACCATTTGGCAATATGCAGACCTTTCAGGCAAGTCCAGACATGCCCGCACCTGAAAGAAAAGATCTGTAGGGAACAAAATGTATGTGTATATATTGGTCTAATTAAAGGGCTCCATTCAAAGCTGTTTGGAAATGAAAACAGCACAGCTTTTTAAAAGGCAGGTACTGGATCACTGCAGAACATAGAAAGCAGTGGTTACATAAGACCGTGTGAAAATCTGTGTTTAGATAGCAGTCCTATTATTGCCTCCTGTCATCTAAAATGATGGGTTATGGCGTCTGGAGTTGGCCATAAGCTACGCACTGAAATGTAGAATTTGCATGTGTGCTGCCGATCCCATGGCCAAACTTTTTCTCCGAGGGCCAAACAAGACATTACAGACATGTGTAACTTTCGCTCAGCAGGTTTGGGGCAGTTCTACAAGGAAAAGCAGCCTGAGGAGGCGGCTGCAATAAAGGAGTGGAGGCTGATGGGAAGGGTGCTTAATTATTTTCCTGCTGGCTGTTTTTCACCTTCGGAACTGAGGTGCCCAGCCTCTTTCTTCTTTCATGGGGGGATAGAACATAGGGATCTGTATCCTTTCTCCCCATGAAAACAAAAATATGTATACCGATGACACCCAGCTCTGTTACACCTCAGTCAGGTGCAGCCATGCAAGTCCTGGACTCATGCCTGGACCCAGCAGTCGGCTGAATGAGGGCCGGTAAGCTGGA